TCCTCTATAAAAATTATCTGTTTAAATTTCCTATTTTTACTGGGATCAATTTGGTAAATTGTATTTTTAAAGATACACAAATTACATGTAAATTTCCAAATTAATTGCATAGAGAACTGCCAAAAGTCTCTTTTGATTTTCAAAATTTTCCTTGAGTTTAAGGGTTGTTTCCCTTAAACTTCCCTTATTTTATATATTTTCCCTTATTTTATATATTTTCACTTTCTCCTTTTTTTCTTAAATTGTTACAGTGATTTTCCTAAGAAAAAAAATACTGAATTGGGGTTAATTAATATTTGCCGGGAGCCGGTCCATGCTTGCTGTTTCAAGGGACCTGGCATATATGGCATACTGTTCTTTCTTTTTTTTTTTTTATTGCTTAAAGTATTACAAAGGGTATTATATATGTGTCCATTTTATCCCCCCGCCCTAGACAGTCCCCTAGCCTCCCCTATCCTCCAATGTCTTATGTCCACTGGTTATGCTTATATGCAACATACTGTTCTTAATATGTTTGCTCACCTTCTTGGCACTATGTGTTTTAACCAAGGTCTCTGAGAAAGGGTGTTTCCCCAGGTAGGGATTTTCCCCTGAAGTTAGGGAGGGAATAAAACCTCTTAACTAAGTGCCAGGCGGGTAATTAGTCACTTTAACTATGAACAATCATGCTTAAGCTACATAATCTTTACTCCCTGGAATGGAGATAAGAAACACCCTAACCTTTGGAATAGAGATTGATAGGATTGGAATCAACTAGTATAAATACAGATGTAAGAAGACAGAACCAAGAGAGACAGAACCTACACAGGAACGAGAAGACAGAACCTACACAGGAACCAGAAGACAGAACCTACACAGGAACCAGAAGACAGAAGAACTTAGCTGGAGAGAACATGGCAAAAGATCCTGGATTGAACCTGAAATTGGCAAAAGAACCTGACTAGAACCTGGTGACTGAACCTGGCTGGAGAACCTAGCGAGGGAACATGGCTACAGAACCTGGCTGGAGAACCTAGAGAACCTAGCAAGAGAGCATGGACTCAGAACTTGGCTGGAGATCCTGAACCAGAACTTCCCTGGAGATCCAGACCAGAACTTGGCTGGAGATCCTGGATAGAGATCCTGGCTAGGCTGCTGATCAACTGAACGCTGTCTCTGTGTCATTCCTTCTTCGCCGACTCCGTCCACACCTTTGGGGACCCCTGGACCTTCTGGGGTTGTACCCTGGCAAATATTTTAGGAGAGTAGTGAAAGGAGGAAATCAAAATAAAATAACCTTGTTAGAATAAATTCAGATGAGTGATCTGAAGATTTTACAGTTCACGGCCAATCATGGACTATTACTACTTAGGAAGAAAAAAAGTCCTCACATCATAAATAGTGTCCCTTTATTTATAAGAGCTTGACTGAGTGTTCAGTTATGGCTAAGAGACTGGCATGAGAGCCCAGGGGGAATGGAAGAATTGGAAGTTTTAATTTTTATATGGTCACCTCTTGAACCTTTCATAAGGGACAGCAGGAGTCTTTTCAAAGTACATTGATGGTTTGGACAAGTGGACCACCTCATATTCAAATAAATCTGTGTGTGGGGGGGGGGGGGGGAAAGGCTGCTCCTTTAAACCAATTTTTCAGTAGTTCATATGTAAAAATGTATAAAGAATAATACCTCAAACTTAACCATGGCCACTGCTCCCCTTGAATAATAAAACATTACAACTGAAAAACATTTACGTCTCCATGTACTCCCTTCCCAATTGTATTCACTCTCCCTTTCTGACCTCCTCAAATACCTAAATAAGATACAGGATTATTTCACATATTTCTAACTTTATATAAACGTATCATATTATAAACATTCCTCTGAAACGTGCTGTTTTCTCCTAAACTTATTTTTTAAGATTTATCATGTGTATCTCTATTTCATTGACTTTTAACTATTGTATATTATTCCATTATATGACTATAACACAATTTATGTATGTATCCTTCTCTTTATAGACATTAAGGTCATTTTATTGTTTTTATGTTATAATAATGCTTCTATGAGCAGTCTTTTATATATCTTATTGCATACATGTGTAAAAAAGTCTGTATCTAGGAGTGGAATTTCTGGGTGGTAACGTATGAATGTCTTCAACTTTATGAAATACTAGAGGCCTGTTGCACGAAATTCGTGCATGGAGAGGGGTGTGTTCCTCAGCCCAGCCTGAACCCTCTCCAATCTGGGACCCCTTCAGGGATGTCCGACTGCCCATTTAGGCCTGACCCTGGTGGGATCGGGCCTAAATGGACAGTCGGACATCCCTCTCACAATCCAGGACTGCTGGCTCCCAACCAGTCACCTGGCTGCCTGCCTGATTGCCACTAACTACTTCTGCCTGCCAGCCTGATTGATGCCTAACTGCTCCCCTGTCGGCCCAATTGCCCCCAACTGCCCTCCTCTGCCACCTAGTCACCCCTAACTGCCCTCCCCTGCAGGCCTGGTCACCCCCAACTGCCCTCCCTTGCAGGCCTGGTCCCTCCCAACTGCCCTCTCCCCTGCTGGCCATCTTGTGGTGGTCATCTTATGTGTTGGAGTGATGGTCAATTTGCATATTACCTCTCTATTATATAGGATTGCCAAATAGTTCTTCGAAGGAATTGCAGTGACTTACACTGTCAAAGAAGTATATGGAAAGAAAATTCTTATTGCTCTATATTCTTGACAATACTGTTAATGCTAAATTTTACATTTTTTAAAATAAATCTGTGCATGAAATTACTCTGATTTTATTTTTTTCCAGTGTTATTGAGATATAAGTAATATTTAACATTATATGTTTTAGGTGAACAACATTATAGTTGTATATATAAATACATCAAAATGATTACCACAAAAAGTTAACATCTATTGCCTCACATAGTTACAATGTTTTCCTTCTTCTTTTTTTCACAATTTTTAAGAGTTACACTCTTAGCAACTTTCAGCTATACCATATAGCACTGTTAACTATAGTCACCATGCTGTACATTACATGGTGACTATAGTTAATTATAATAATCAAAACAGAATGCTATTGGCATAAAAACAGATACATAAACCATTGGAACAGAATCAAGAACTCAGAAATAAACCCATGCGTATCTGGTCAACTAATATCTGACAAGGGAGACAGGAATATTCAATGGAAAAAAGATAGTCTCTTCAATACATGGTGCTGGGAAAATGGGATATTCACATGCAAAAGAATCAAACAAGGCCCCTATCTTATACTCACAAAAATTAACTCAAAATGGATTAAAAACTTAAATGTAAGAACTGAAATCATGAAGCTCCTGGAAGAAAACAGAGAAAAAGCTCCTTGGCATTGGTCTTGGTGCTGACTATTTTTATATGATACCTAAAGCACAAGCAACAAAAGCAAAATAAACAAGTGGGACTACATCAAATTAAAAAGCTTTTAAAGAACAAGTGAAGCCATCAACAAAATGAAAGAGTAACCTACTGAATGGGGCAAATATTTGCAAACCACAAGAGTTTATATAAGAGTTTATATCCAAACTCTATAAGGAACTCATACAACTAAACAACAATAAAAACCAATCCAATTTAAAAATAGGCAAAGGACCTGAATAGACATTTTTCTAAAGAAGACATACAGATGGCTAACAGGTACATGAAAAGGGGGTCAACATCACTAAACATCAGGGAGATGCAAATTAAAACCACAATGAGATATCACCTCACACCTGTTAGAATGGCCGTCATCAAAAAGAAACAACAAGTGTTGATGAAGGTGTGACAAAAGGAAAACTTTTTGCAGTATTGGTGGGATTATGAATTGGTATAGTAACTATGGAAAACATTATGGAAGTTCCTTAAAAATTAAAACTATAACTACCATTTATGATCCAATAATCCCACTCTGGTTATATATCCAAGGAACAAAATGGCGACCTCAAAGAGAGGTGCGCTCAGTGTTTACTGCGACAACATGGATGGATCTCGAGAGCATTATGCTAAGTGAAATTGAAGCATAGTGGTCCCTCCTTTGGAAAAACTGCTGTTTGAATTACTCTCTTATTTTTAGATAGTCTCTTATTCTATAAAATATAACTTTGTTTTTTAGCTTGAATAATAGAAAAGATAAACTTATTTGTCTGACCTTGCAAGCTAGCCATCTAAAGGGGCTGATACACTGTTACTAATATTAAATCACATATTTTGCCAAGTATTTGTTCATCCAAGGTTACAGGTGTTTGATTAGATACGATATATATTCAAGGTTACAAGCTGTCTTACACAAAGAACTAGAAGGATATAAAAAGGAAATACTCCCTCTTGTGTTTGTTCAGAATTTGACAGAGGTAATCTGCTCTGAACCTGCGTGCAATAAAGATGACTCCTAACTAATTGGCTCATTAGGCGTCTTGTCCAGCTTGCCAATTTGCAATACAACAAAATAAGTCGAAGACAAATACCATTATGATCTCACTCATATGTGGAATCTAATGAACCAAATAAACTGATGATCAAAAATAGACCCAGAGTCATAGAAGCATAAACACACCGTTGAACCTCAGAGGAAAGACAGGGAGGGTGGGTGGGAAGAGATCAACCAATGAACTGGAATGCATATATGCAGAACCGGGGGACACAGACAATGGGGTGGTGAGGGCCTGGAGGGTTAGGGGGACAGGAGCGGCCTGGAAGAGGTTAATGGGAAAAAAAAGGAGGATATACTAGCATGTAATACTCTCAACAATAAAGATTAAAAAATAAATAAAAATCAAAGTCCACTACCACAGAGTTATTTTTTCAGCTTCATTTTCATCAGATTACCAAGATAATATCAATTTAAACTTCAAATTTGCATAAATGCAAGGCTTCGGTTAAAAAAAATATAAGGGCAGACTTTTTCCATTCAGAGCCAAGGTAAACACAGAAAGTTATTATCTCCCTTTGGCATTAGGAAGATTTTTTTTTTTCCTCGTCTACTTTTTTTTTTTTTTTTTCACTATATATTTGTTAAACTTTATTTCCTCTGAGTCTCTGGGAGGCAGCAGGGATGTAAGGCGAAGTGGCAGTAGCTGCGGGGGCCTGAGCAGAGCTGGTGCTGGAAGGGGCTGGCATGGGCAAAACGAAGAGAAGATTTAAATATCCAGGGCTGACAGTCAGCTAGTGGGTCTCCTTCATCTGTCTTTGGATTTTGTGCAGCATCTCCTGCATCCGCCGCAGCTCCTCATCTTTCTCTCGTATCAGCCTTTCAGTTTCTGGATCTGTCCCTAGTGGGACAGCAGGGATGGGGAAGTCGGTACCACTCTCTCGAGTCAATTTGTTGCGATTCCGCTCTTTCACCACCAGGCGGGTCATGCTCTGGATACACTGTGCCCGGTAGTTCTCATAATGTGTCTTCCGTGTCACATCCTTCAAGTCCTGCATGTGAGTACGCACCAGCATTGTCCTCAGTTTCACAAAGTCGCAGTGCCCTGGGTTTTCCACTTCCACGATGCCCCAAGGGTAGAGACGGCCCCTGACTCGTCGCCCTCTGGCCTCTACCACGGTGTTGCTGCCAATTACAGCAAATGGGATGCTTTCCTTTAGGGCTTGGTCCTGTAATTTGAAGTCCTCATCCTCATCAGAGTCACAGTCTGGGAACTGGTAGATCTTGATTCCAAAGTGCTCTATCTCCTCCCGGATTTTGCGTTTCTTGTGCTCCACTTCAGGAGGTGTCAGTGTGTCCGCCTTAGCCAAGATAGGCACGATGTTGACCCGCTGATGCAGGGCCCTCATGAATTCAACATCCAATGGCCGGAGCCCGTGGCCGAAGGGTGAGATGAAGTACAGGCAGCAGTGCACCCTGTTGTCTTGGATGTTCTTGCGGTTCAGGCCACTCTCATCTCGGAAATACTGAGAGTTTAGAGCTCAGAGTCCCTGGCTTTATGTCAAGGGCTCTGTTATAGGTCACCTTGAAACCTGATAGTTTATTTTCCTGATGTAGGAAAATAGGTGTCAGAGTAGCCATTCCATTAGTACATGCTCATTACTTTTACTGTGAGCTAACCTATTATATGTATGTTTCATTTAGTATTTCTAGGTATTTTGTAGTTGGAGAGCATTTTTCAGATAGTCTGCTGTATCTTATGGTACTGCTTTTTCTCAGCAAATCCTAAATCTTTTATATCACTGGATTTGACATTATTCATTTCTTTGAAATTATTCATGTCATGTTAACATAAGCTCCTTTACAACGTCACAGTATCTCACTCACTCACTGATGCATTCACTTGTGTTTTCTGATCTCCAGTGCACTCCATAAGGCTCGCTGGGAGAGAGAGTCGATTTGAAGAGCCTTTTGCCAGTGACATGTGCCAGATAGTTGATGAAATTGTTTGTGTTCTGCTGCCAGTCCTCCAGGATAAACCATTTGCATTTTTTGGCCACAGGTATTTAAAATCTGTTTTAAAAGCCATTTCCTCAATCACAAGTAGTTGGCAAATATTTTCTTTGTGTCTTGTGAGATGCATGCTTTTTGTATTGTTACACTGCCTCATTGCTGCTTAAAGGAGTGAGTGATTAATATGGCTATAGCTATTCTCAGACAAGAAAGTTAGAGTGGAATAGTGCAATAGGGACCATAAAGATATAAATGCCAGGTTGTGTGATGATTTGTGAAAATCCTGGGCTCCTGGCATCTTCTCATTGGAAAATAGTCCTAGAATATTGAACAATTATGGCCAGTCACAACTCTTACAATTGGCTGTTTGTATAGTAATTATATCTTTAGGCAAACAACAACAACAACAAAAAACAGGACTTGTAAAATCAAGATTATAGCAGTAACTTATATTGCACTTATTTTTAATTTTAACAATTATATAAATAGTATGTGCTAGATGTATAATTTTAAGGTTATAATGTGAAACCTGCAGTTTTAACTGCCTCTTAGCCAGTTTGACCTGGGACAAATTCCTACGGTTTTTGAATTAGTTTCCTTCTCTGTAAAGCTGGAAAAATAATAGTTCCTTCTTATGAAGATTAAATGAATAATGATCATAAATTATTTGGTATGTGATAAGAACTCACTAAATTTTGGCTACTATGTTATATAATATTTATAGATATGGCCAGGCAAAAAATAAAAAGTTTCATCCTAGAAAGTATTTTAAAATTTTGATGTGGTTCCATAGTATGTTACATATATGGTCCTGCTTTATATCTTTTCCTGACTTTCTTTCACTTACTATTGTTGTGAAGGTCACATTGCTTCATGACCTGTTTTATCATTTTATTAATCTCCCTTTGTGGACATCGTTACTTTTATCTTTTTCTGTTAGCCAAAGAACATATATACATAGCCACGGACACAGACAAGAGTGTGGTGATCCGGGGGGGGGGGGGGGGGATAGCGGGGAGAGGGTGGGAGCTGGGTAGAGGTGGGTAAAGGCGGGGAAGGGGGACATCTATAATGGTGTCAGCAATAAATATAATTTTTTAAAATTAAAAGAAATGTCTTTAAAAATTTTTCAATGAACATTTTTATAGAAAATTTTGTATATATCTCATAAGTTTCTTAGTATAAATCTTCAGAATTTCGGTTAAATGATATGCCCATTGTTAGAGCTCTTAATATACATTTCCAAATTACCTGCAATTTACGCTTCCTCAGCAATGAACATAGGACTGAGTTTCCCTTTTCCTCCCCTAAGATATTTACCAAAGTAATCTCTGGCGGTATTGTTTACAAAACATGTCTCCATAATGTCTACTGTAGCTCACAAACTTTTTGGTCCCAGTACTGTCTTAATACATTTAAAAAACATTGAGGACCTTAGAGAGCTTTTGCTTATGTGTGATATTATGTCAATATTTACTATATCAGAAATTAAAACTAAGAAATTTAAATATACACATGTTAAAATAATATTAATAAACCCGCTGCATGTTGTCATAAATATAGTTTTAAGTAAAAGACTGTATTTCCTCTCAAAATTAGTGAGAGGTAAGGCTTTTACACTTTTGCAAATCTGTTTATTGTCTGGCTGAATAGAAGGCAGCTGGATTCTCATTTCTGCTTCTGCATTCAAACTGTTGCAATATCCCACGTCACATAGCCTCAGGAAAACTCAACTATGTGCTCAGAAGAGGATGAGAGTAGGAATATAACATTTTGGCATTGTCATGAAAATAGCTTTAACCTCATAGACCACATGAAAAGGTCTCAGGAATTCCCAGGGGATCCCAGACCATACTTTGGGAACTGCTGATACATACTATTAAAGGCCTAGTGATAGAGAGCTGAAGGGACAAAAGGAAACTGAAATAAATTTCAAGGCATTGTGGAGTAAGTACTAAATTTTGGCCTGAACTATCTAGGATGTCTTAAAAACACTTTTTATGCTGATATAAGTTGTTGAAAGTATACCCTCATAAATTCATTTATTATTTAAGTAACTTATACTTTTCTTTGCAAATGTCACGATCATTGCTGTTTTATGATCCTTGTCTTTATATACTTTCAGTGGATTACCATGACTTTGTTGAACAGTTGTTATCATGTTTTTCTTTCCCAAATTTAGTATGGGGGCCTACATTGCTTTTATGACTGCACGACACCTAAAAGAAAAACATAAGCTAGAACCAATGCATTTATTTGTGTCAAGTGCAACTCCTCCTCATGTAAGTAATTTCATTTTCCTTAGGGTAAGTGGTGAAGAGGAGGGAAATGAGGGGGAAATCACGATGCTATTTCCCTATATGGTGAATTCTGGCCCAGCATGGGGATGATGGTGAGACCCTACTGGCTCATGAAAACACCCTCAAATTTCTTCCAATATCATCTCCCCTTTTCTCTGAAATGCACTTTAACCATTTCCTGGTCAGTTCCCAGTATCTCCAAGCCATAATTGACCCAAAGTGCTTGTTCTCTCATTCTGAGTCAGGTGGGAACTTAATCAACGTTCAGCTCAGTAACTGGGTCAGAGCCAGGAAGAATACTTGACATCTCTAAAGGGGAAAGTGACCTCAACGTTTTGTGCTACCCTGGCTCTTCAAGTCAGTGCTGCTGTGCTGCCCACACTCCTGCCTTGCTCTCCCTTCCCCCTCCGAAGGAAGCCCCAACGGCCAGCCCGGCGGCATTATGACACTGGGTCCTAGTGTAAGGGAACTTTCTTCTCCCTGCTTTTCAAAAGAAGGAGGTCTGCCCCGAAACCTGTAGATAAAGAAGTCCTCTTCTGACCCTGACTTGATGGCATTTCCCTGGAGAGGGAGCTTCCAGTTTATGAATGAGTACATTATATGAAATATTAGACTTATGTTGTTCATGTTTCAAGTCAAAGGCTAGGCCTCGCATTCCTGAAGATAAAGAATTGTCAGAAGAGCACTTTCGCTCTTTAATTTTGACTTTTGGAGGCACTCCCGTGGATTTGATTAATGACGAGGAATTTTCTCAACAATATTTGCCCAGACTGATGGCAGATGCACGCATTATTAGCGATTACACGTAAGTGACTGAAATACATGCTTTTTTGAAAAAGAAATAATTATCTGTAGAAAAATATAGGTTGGAAATTCTCTGAGACTGCTTATTCAGGAAGACGACATCCTAAGAGTCTGATTTTATTTCCTTTAGAGCCACTGTGATATTTTTACTGGCTCAGAATGTGATGATCCACGTCCTGAGTGGTTCAGGGTTTGGGATCTGGAGAAGGGCCGTGTGCAAATGACAGAGACGAGACAAGAAATAATAATTTGGAAATATTGGGGGCCAGGTGGGAAGGCCAATGCAAGGGGAAGGACTTCTCCTCGTGCCCAGGCCTTGCCAACCTTTTATTCAACTTTGGATACACATCTAGCTCTTAGGCAGGTAACTGTGGTAACAGACAGACTATCTTAAAGGTCAGTAAATATTAGAAAGATTTACTCTGAGACTCTTTGGTCAGGAAATTGCTTGAGCCACCATTGTCTGGACTAGACAATCGGTGCATAGCTCTGGCCCTGCCAGGGCTCAAGGATCACCAGCATTCCGGGCTCCTTGTTTACACTTTTCTGATAGTGAAGAGAATGGGTGGCTTCCCACAAGAATGGAGCGTGGGCACAGAAATGATATAAAATGATATAAATGAAAGATAAATAGAGCATATCTTTGTTTTAAATATGTGTGTATATGTGTGGCTCAACATACATGTTTTATCATATAACATGTATTTGTTGAATAAACTAACACCAAGGCACCCTCATCCTCTCCAAGGGCCAGAGCAGAGCCCTACTTTCTGAGTTGTGTGGAGGTGAAGCGGGGAGGAAGGAGTAGTTGGCTTTTTTTGTGAATTCTGTTCCAGAACTTGTTTAACCCCCTGGCATCTGACCATTGCTTTGGGATGTATGCATTGGGGCTTGATGTCTGGAGGCCTGGAGACCTGACATTCTATAAAGCCTCTCCAGTCATCTGAACTTGCCCCTGGCTCTAACTTCCCCATCGCAGTGAGTAGGGGCCGGCCTTTGGCCTTTAGTCACCATTAGATTCTGTCATGCATTCCTCCAGTCTTTCCTGGGCTTTGTCTCCTCCACATGCGTCCCCAGAAGGCAGATGCTTGGGCCTATGTTTCTCCTATTTCCTCCACAAAGATTAGACGTAGGCATAGGGCCACCATGACAATGTTTGTGATGAGAAGTGTATACAAATATCTATAAAAAGTGGAACGTACTTGAAGCATCTCGAGAACAGAGACAATCCCACTCACCTATGACACATCCCTCCGTACACTGCCATCTCCAATCTAGCACTAAGTCCACCAGGAGCCCCCTGGTGACCCGAGTCTGTTTCTCTTGCCATTCTGTCCCAACCATCTTTGCCCAAATGTGAGTCTCACGGGGATAAGCTGTCTGTGTGGCTTCTGAGTACAGAGTCAGAATCAAAGAAACCAGTCCTTCCCTGCCCCCAAATAGAAAAGTAATCCAAGTCACTGTGGACATTCAATGAAATACTGTAGGCAAAAGCTGGTTTTTAATCATTAAGCCTCGCACAATAGTCAAACATACTGTCTGTACACTCTGCCTCCCAAGATCAAAACCCTCTGCCCGTGGCTTACCAACTGTGACATTCAGAGCAAGTTTCTTTAACAGTTTGTGTCCCACCTGTCAGAGAAAGGAATAAAAACTCCCTCCAGGTGTTGCGGTGAGGACTAAATGAGGTCAGATTGGCAACGTAACTAACTACCACAACTGAAAACACACACACAAAAATTCACTACCAAAGGCTGTTGTGGCTTTAACATCTTAGCAGAGCCTCAGGGTGTCGGTGGTGGGCCATGTTCAACCACAGCCCACCAGAGGGAGTGAAATAGGGTGATTACCCACGAGCCCCGGAGGAGGTCCACGGCACGCCTGGAGGGCCCAGGGCGGGCAGGGCAGGTGTAGGCAGACAGTGTGGCAGGACGGGGGCACACACCTTTATTATAGTGTCTGTGGTGGGGTGCTTTGGGGTTCCTGGGCCAAGGCCAGATTGGTCAATTCAAACAAAAAAAGTGGGGTTTCGTACACTTCACGGGGGTCTTGTCTAAGGGATGCATGAGGGGAAGGCTCTGGGAGGCAGGAGAGACTGTTTATCACAAAGGCTGTTGGGGGAGTCATATCAGGGACTTACCCTTACTTGTGACTTTGCAGCTGACATCTAGGCTAGTGTCACTCAAGGCCCCCACAGGCTGCATAGCCACACAGTGGATGCCAAGGCAGCAATATTAGCCACACTCTCAGCAGCTCTCAGGAGAAACCTCCCCAACACCAAAGTAAAAGAGAAATCTTTCACAGGATTTCTTTCACAGGAAATCTTTCACCTGCTCTGTTTCCAATAAAAATAAAACCAGACCTATAGCGCCCCTCTCTGTTTCCATGACCACAGGGCTAAGAGCCTAGTGCAGTGGTTGGCCAACTGAGGCTCACGAGCCACATGCGGCTCTTTGGCCCCTTGAGTGTGGCTCTTCCACAAAATACCACGTGCGGACACACACGTACAGTGTGATTGAAACTTTGTGGCCCATGCGCAGAAGTCGGTATTTTGTGGAAGAGCCACACTCAAGGGGCCAAAGAGCCGCATATGGCTCATGAGCCGCAGTTTGCCAACCACTGGCCTAGTGGCCAGAATGGAAATCTGTGGCAGGTGGGAGCTGTGATGGCTCCCGACTGACTCAAGCTCCTCGTCTCCTGCCTGAGCGTTCGTGCTGTTCTCTTGTCTCCTCCTAGAACCAGACTGTGTACTAGTACATGCGAGGCTGTTGGATTTTGTCCCTTTGGCTCTGGAATAGTCTTGCCTTTTTAAACTGTCTTTCTATGTCTTTCAGTTTGGATAATTCCTGTTGACCATCTTCAGGTTCAGTGATTCTTTCCTCAGCTGTATCCAGTCCACTGCTGGGCCTGTCAAAGGAATTCATGTGGGTTACAGTTTGTTCCTACAATTTCCACTTGACTTTCTTATAGTTCTCACTTCTCTAATAAACTTTCCCATTTGCCTACGCATGTTGTCCACCTTTTCCACGATACCCTTTGACATCTCACACACAGGTATTTTAAGTCCCTGTCAGATAGTTCTAACATCCGGGTCTTATTGAGTCTGATTCTTTGCGTTGCTTTGCCTCTTGACAATGGAGTTATTTTTTGCTTTCTTATGTCTGATAATTTTTGTTTATTGAAGGCCAGCTATTATGCATAAAACAGAGACTGCAGGATATATTTTTACACCTGGACCTGAGCACATCTCATCAGGCTATACGTATGGGGAGTTGAGTCGATGTAGACTGGAGATGACCTGTTTGGCTTTTGTTGTTACTATTGTTCCTCAGGGCAACGCTAGCTTCCAAGTCCCCTAGTGTTACGTGTGCTCAGCATGGAGACTGGGATGCTGGAGAGTTTTCCTCAATGCATCAGTCTTTCCTGTGACTCATAGAACAGTCTGTCCCCACTGACAGACAGTTGTTACCCGAGGTGTGGTGTCAGCCCTTGGGGTAAGACGGGGAGTTGTTGGACGTCCTAGAGTCTTGAGCTCCCATCTTAGGCAGGTCCCCTGTGCCTGGGCCCTGTGAGTGGGACTCTCAGCATGCCTGCCCCTTCTCCCCGTGTCTGTGGTTGGTATAGATGTGGGCCCTCCCCAAGGGTGGAGGGTCAATGCTTTCGGGCCCTGCAGCCTTGGTCTTCAGCTGTAGGGAAGTGAGTGTCTGATGCCCCGCCTCCAGCAGCTTGAGGCTTTTGCTTAAGAAAGAAGGGCCTGGGTAGGGCTGGGATTTAGTGCCCATTTTATGGCCTATCTGCCCTCCTGCCCCACCTTGGGGACTCTTTCTGGCCTCCTGCCTTGTTCCCAGTCTTTCTTTCTTTTTGATTTGTGTGTGTTTTTTTAAATATGCTTTTATTGATTTCAGAGAGGAAGGGAGAGAGAGAGAGAGAGAAACATCAATGATGAGAATCATTGACTGGCCGCCTCCTGCACGGCCCCTACTGGAAATCGAGCCTCTAATCTTGGCATGTGCCCTGACAGGGAATCCAACCCTGACCTATGAACCTCACCACTGAGCCACACCGGCCTGGCGAGTCTCTATTGTTTTAAGCCCCCTGGTTGGTGGTCACTGTTACAGAAGCCCCAGCAACAGACAAGAGAAGATCAGCGGGAAAGTAGTCAGGACCGTCCTGTGCCTCACCGGCCAGGGCCCCCGCAGGCCTGAGGGGGGAATGCTTGGAGGATCCTAGTGGACCACAAACACTGCAGGCTGAGTGGGCAGCGACGGCAAAGGAGAGGCAACCAACCGCGCTCTCTGCCTCGTAGAGGCATCCATCTGCCTGCTGGCCCCGTGGGTCCCCTCCTCCCTACGTCCATCTTACCAGACAGCCAGCAGCGCCCACCCGACAGCGTGGAACTCCAGGCAGCTCTTGGCCAAGTGGCCGGAGCCCAGGCCAAGCAGAGGGAGAGGTTTGCTAAAATAAGGCCAGGCCACGGGTGACCTGTGAGTTTCCATCCACCAGGAGAGCAGGTTGCTCAGTTACCATGAATAACCCTGACGGGTGTCTATTCCAAGGTACATGACACTACCCCCTCCCCCCCTCCCCATACACACACAGAGGGCACTGGCCTGTCCATCTCCTGCGGCAGACACAGCCGCCCCTCCCCCAACACACACACACACACACACACACACACACACACACACACGCCGTCGCGGAGGGGTGACCTCCGGGAGACGACCGCCACCCGGCACTGTGGCCCTGGGCCCGCCCGTGCGGGGGCCACACGTGCAGAGAACACACCGGGCGGTGCTCCGGCCCGTGGGCAGCACCCGGCCCCGCGCGGGCGCAGGCACCTGCTGAGGTCCGAGGGCCTGGGTGTCAGGAGCACTGAGCGCCCTGTGACGGCAGCGCCACCCCGCCGCTCACACGCACTTCCGAGAGGGGGCGGCCCGGGCCGCCGCTCTCACTCCCGCTTCTGCACCGGCCCTGCTGGCGAGAGCCCCGCCGAGGGCGGACGGGAGCCTCCAGTTCCCTGAGCAGGTCTCGTTCCTCAGAGCTGTGACCCCACTTTCCTCTCGCCGGCCCGCACGTGCAGCCCCGCGCGCGCCTTGGCGAAGGGGCCCTCGCCCTGCTGGCGGCCGCCCACCCGGCGGAGAGGAAACTTCCTTCGCGGGCCGTCCCGCCGCCGCCGCCCGTTCCTCCTCCGGCTCCGGCTCGGACTCCTCCCGCCGCCGCCGGGCCGGCCCCGCCGAACGCGCGCGGGCAATAGCTGCCGCCCCAGGCGCCCGGGGCCGAGATCCGCCCCCAACAAGTTCTTCCTCGGGGGTCTCCGGGCCCCTTTCATGGGAAGGAGGAAAGGCGGGGGGCGGTCCGGGGCCGGGTCCCCGGTGCCGGCGCCTCCGCAGCTTCCGCCCCGCCGCCGCCCGTGCGCGCGGGCTCGGGTGCGCTCCTAGCCGGGCTGCAGGCGCCCTCTGGGCGGCCGGGAAGGAACCCCCTTTCCGTCTGGATTTGCAGAGATTCAACCCGGGCGCGGGCAGCGGGAACAGCCTTCGCAGTCTTTCTTGTGAACCGGCACGGCAGTGAGGCCGGTGGAAAAAGGCCGGCGAGCAATGTGGATTCTATCTGACGACACCCTCCGCCCCCCCACCCCCCACATCCCTCCTGCTTGATCTCCTGCACGCTGTTAACATTTTAGCTGATTTCTTCTTCCTTGAATGGCCAGCAGACACCCCTTCCTCCTGTGCTTCGTGCATGTGAGCCAGTCTGCACGCCTCACATCTCCTTAAAGGTGCCTGACCCTCCTTGGAATTTCTTTTCTAGTTTGCCTTGCAGACCCAGCTCTCTGATGAGTTCAAGGAGTTGTGATCTTGTAGTTTGTTGGGCTTTTTCTCATCATCAGGTTGAGAGAGGCACTTATAGTTTTCTACTTTCTGGGCAAGAGTGGGGATTTTTTTTTTAAAGAGTGGGAATTCTGCCCTAGCTGGTTTGGCTCAGTGGATAGAGCGTCCGCCTGCAGACTCAAGGGTCCCAGGTTCGATTCCTGTCAAGGGCATGTACCTTGGTTTCGGGCACATCCCCAGTAGGGAGTGTGCAGGAGGCAGCTGATCGATGTTTCTCTCTTATCGATGTTTCTAACTCTCTATCCCTCTCCCTTCCTCTCTGTAAAAATCAATTAAAAGAATTTTTTTTTTTTTTTTAAAAAGAGTGGGAATTCTTGCCTGGACTATTGAAAGAGCCAGTGAGCTGGTTATAGACCCTGGGTCCCACATTATATCCAGATGTATGAAGTCAACTTTTTTCACAGCGCACTTGCCTTAAATCCTTTGGGTGGCTTCCTGTCATTCTAAGGGTGACCAAAATCCTCTATGAGGCCTAGGCTTGGCCCTTACCCACCTCTTTTACCTTAATTTGTCCCAATCCCCCCTTTACTCTCTGAAAGTCATTGGTTTGTGCTCATTCTCTTCCCTCTTCCCCTGCCACCTCTCCCCTTTTCCAAGTTTTGTCCTATTAATTCAGATCTCAGATTCAACTCCTTTTCCTCGAGACCTTGCTTAATGCCACCTCACCCCCAAATGTCAAGTGTTCGCAGGTCCTCCTTGGCAGCACTTACACATCTCTCTAGTTATCTAATTATTTCATTTATGTCTGTCTCCCCAGCCAGTTTCTAAGTTGCAGGAGGAAAGAGACCGTGTTTATCCACAAGTTCTTAGTGGCCAACATCGCAGCCAGCACCACACTCAATACATGTATGTTGCTGTTGGGATTAAACTAAGAATGGGCGGAACCAACTCAGGGAACCTGCTGGCACAGACCTGCTTTTGTTCTGCTGGTTGCAACTCTCTCTGGACCATGCAGAGCTGGTTGTCTCTGGAAAATGGCAGTTAAAGGGCCCAGTTGTAACCGGCCTCACCCTGAGTTGGACTGGGGGCCCGGGTGCCATCCAGCTGCCATCTGTGCTGTTCTAGAAGTTAGATGGCTGGAACCACAGTCTGACATGTGGAAATATGGCTGGTAAAAATTTTTTTGAATTGCTAGAAACAGCAAAAGAGAAAGAAGTGAGGACACACCCGGTTCCATTCAAGTGACACTGGTAATACTTCAGGAAAGATCCTGGGAAAAGTTACTAACTGGCTCTTTTCCATTTACAGCTTTAATGCACCATCTGAGGCCCTTCTATCTTGTGACTTGACATGCTTTGTTGGATCTGAAGATGTAGTAGAGGATATAGAAGGTGAAATAATTTTGAGTATTTTATTGAGATAAAGTTCAACCAGCAGTCACTGCAATGAGTAGAAAACGGGCCCAAGTTTTAGCTATACTAATAAAAGGGCAATATGATAATTAGACCAGGAGACAGGACATCTTCCGACCATGCGACTTCCTTCCAGACAAAGCCACAGTGGTGGGGCAGAGATGGTTAGGGACAATCAGGCTGGCAGCGGAGGGCAGTTGGGGCCATGAGGCCAGCAGGGGAGGGCAGTTGGGGGCCATGAGGCCGGCAGGGGAGTGGTTAGGCAGCGATCCAGCTGGTAGGCAGGCAAGTGGTTAGGAGCCAGTGGTCCCGGATTGCGAGAGGGATGTCCGACTGCCAAATTGGAGAGGGTGCAGGCCGGGCTGAGGGACCACCCTCCCATACATGAATATCGTGCACCGGGCCTCTAGTTTCATATAAATGGAGAGATGTTGGTCATATGTAAAATGAGAGAATGCAGGTACTACTACTATATACTGATAGGTCTTAGAGAAATTAAAAATGCAGGACTTATAGAACATGAGACCTTGAAACAACTTGCCACTGGGCTCAGATCTTTGAAAGGTAATATCTGGAAGTAAATGTTTTGTTGTTTTTGATGTCATTTGTTACTAAATTTATAATTTTGTTTATTTTTAGCCTGGAAAGATGTAATCAGTGGAAGTTTTCATATTTTTGTGCGTCCAGGAAATCACTTTTATCTCATGGAAACTTCCAATGAGACCTTCATCATGAACTACATAACCAAGTGTCTAGAAATATCGATGCTTGCCTGACTAGACGTTTTTCCGGTCTTAAAAAGTCGAAGTGATTATATGATAATTTGAAAAATTTTTTCAGAAGTAGTTCTTTGTTTTCATTCAGAAATTGGAAAGTTATACATTTGTTCCTGCCAGGGGATTTGTTATGTATATATACACCTGTATCTGGGGACAAAAGTCAGATGGGTCAAGCATACTTCTGGTAGGGCCTTTGTCTTTGTATTAGAATCTCATCTGAGTCTCATCTGTGGGAAGTTTGTCAACAAAATTCCTGCTTAGTAAATGATCCATTTTTACATTCAATTATTTTAACAGTGAAAATGGCAGACAGGGCATATGCTTGAAATTAAATTATCGTTTCATCCGCACAAGGGTTCCAAGCTTGATCTAATCTTTTAAAATGTAGGTTCATTCCATTTAATAAGAAAATGTAACCTGCTTGGTTAAAACAAGATGGTCCTAAGCAATCATTGCCGGCTGCTCTGTTGGTACTCAGAGTGCCTGGGAGCTCTTGCCCTCTTCTGCTGGGTTCCTCCTACATTGACTGCCCTTTGGCTCTGGATGGCCCTGCTGCCACCCTGGCAGTGACTAACTTTGGCCGAAGGGGAGTATGGAGTGGCCAAGTACAAACGCCATGTCCCATAGGCACCTCAGCCTCACCCTGAGAGCGTTTGATGTTGGCAAGAGGAGGAAGTAGAACAGCTGGAAGCAAACAGGAGCTAAAAGGGGGAAAAGCAGAAGGAGGGAAAATGAGCCCAGTCAGAACAATGAAGCCTACAAATGGGGACCGCCGATGCTCCCGATGAGAATGAAGAGGCCCCGTGTCTCTGAGCCGTGTGGATCCTGCAGTCTCCGGCAATCCCCAAACTGTTTGTCCTTGGAATCCTGGCTATCCTCTCAGACATCCTGACTTCCTTATTTCCTGTGGATCTTCACAATAAACTCTAGTACTTGATTGATGTAACCGATGTCTCTTGCTTATGGCTAAAACTGCCTAACCCAGCATCATACATTAAAATGTTAACTTTTACAGCATTGATATGTTTATGATCACATAATAAGGGGTTCATGTTTTTTTAGCAATTTTAAAATCATATATAAAGTCTTAGTAAATAAGATAAAAGGAAATGCATACAGGAGATATTTTTCAGAATTTACCAGTACTTTTTAACAAAGTACAAATAATATAAAATTTGTTATGGAGAAAGGGCTTTGAGCTAGAATTCACATAATAATAAATTTGGGCTAAAAATAGCCTCAAGCAAATGATGTTAAATGTTTAGTACGTGCTGTGCTGTGCTTTACTCTCTGGTATATGACTTCCAGGGTTCCCTTACAGAAGAACTGGTGCTAAAGTAATTTAGATTCTTGATTATTAGTTTAAATAACTTTTAGTTATTATAGTCCACAAATGGAAATCCCACGAAGGAGCCAATGCCAGGCTTTTGGGGTGAGCTTGATCGGAAGGACCAGGCCTCCACTGCTGATGTCTTCTCATTGTTGGATTTGGACGTTGACTCATCATGTCTTTAGGCAAAACTTAATAGAAATGAGAATCACTGTTACATCTACAAATTTTCCAAATTAGAAATCAAGCTAGATTTGTTAATTAAACTTTTTATTTTGAGACGATTGCAGATTCACATGTGGTTGAAAGAGATAATATAGAAACACTCAGTTTCCCCTAATACTAACATCCCACAAACATCTAGTGTAACATCACAACCAGGAAACCGTCATTCATATCATCAAGATACAGAACATTCCTAGACCACAGGATTCCTCCCACTGCCCTTTTAACAACACCTGTGTCCCTCCTCCCTGGCAATCCCTGGTCAGCCTTTTAGATCTGTATCAAGAATGTTACAGAAATGGGGCAGTATGTAACCTTTAAGGGTTACTTTTTTTTTCCATTCAGCATAATCCCCTGGAAAGTCATCTAGTGAATCTAGATTTTTTTTTTAAAGTCACATGAAATTAATCTATCCCTCTGGTCATACCATACCAAACTTGAACCCTTATGCAGGCAATAGAGGGATACTGTTTTGGGGAGATTTGTAGCCTATGAAATCTCAAACATATTTTAGAACTATTAAAATGAGACTATCTTCATCCTGGCTGGGTGGCTACAGTTGTGTTGGAGTGGTGTCCTGTAGACCAAAAGGTTGTGGGTTCCATTCCTGGTCAGTGCACATACCTAGATTGTGGGTTCGATCCCTGATCAGAGAGTGTGTGGAGGCAACAAATCTATATTTCTCTCACATTGATGTTTCTCTCTCTCTCTAAAAATCAATAAACACATATATCCTCAGATAAGGATTTAAAAAAGAGAGAAACTATCTTTTTTTCAGAGAGTCTGTGTACCAGCAAGAAAAACTGAGTATTGGGCCAATATATTTCAGACTCTACACTTTCACTCTGATAAAACTCAACATAAGAGGTATATTACCACTAGATAGTATATTTCAGGACTGGAATCAGGCCTGTGCCAGTGTCGACCCCAAAGCTACATGGTGCAACAAAAGAATAGCTTTGTTATTGGTTCTTTAAAAAATGTTGATTACACCACTACAGAAAAACAGATAAGCCAAAAAACCCCCAAAAACAAAAAACAAACAATTGTGCCCAGCCAGCACGGCTCAGTGGTTGAGCATCAACCTATGAACCAGGAGGTCATGGTTCGATTCCCGGTCAGGGCACATGCCCAGGTTGTGGGCTCCATCCCCAGTGTGGGGAGTGCAGGAGGCAGCCAATCAATGATTCTCTCTCATCATTGATGTTTCTATCTCTCTCTCCTTCTCCCTTCCTCTCTGAAATCAATAAAAATATATTTATTTTAAAAAAGAGCAAATAATTGTTAATGTTTTGTGCACACACTACCAGAGCAATACCTTTTTGAAAGTGTTTAAAATCATCTCTTTATATTGATTAGTCTTTGACACATGATGAATCAGAAACCTAAATAAATTTAAATGTAAAAAAAAAACCCACCTGGTTTTTAGCATTAAAATTTCCTTAAATATATAGTTTCATCATACCTCTAATTAAAGATTATAATTCATGTTACTAGCAAAAATTTTTATGAGATGTAATGAGTTAACAGTGCATTTTCTCCTCTAAATGTTAGGTCATGATACCATTATGAAGGCTCCAAAAGGAAAGTTTCCTCATACGTTGAATTCTAAATTCCATATTTTTCTATCAGCTCTTTTGCTTTAGAAATATAGGCATTCATGGCATCTTCCTTCGATAATCCTAGAAAGATACAAACAGATCATCTCACTAACAGATGCATTGGGAAGTTAAAAAAGTTCACTGAACTTAAGAATTAACAACCTTTTTGGAGGTTCCATGCTTCCCACTTAGCCTTGCCTTTTAAATCTAGCATTCCTGGACAATCTGCCAAAAGAAGGATAGACATATTGTCAGGTTTACTCTTTACTCTATGCTTCTATAAACATTGATCAAAGTATATCACTATTTTAAAGATGACAATAAATACCAATATTGATGTCTCCAATTACAGATTGTTTGTAGAGCCCGTAAAGTTCTTTCAGTTCTTCATCATCTGGCCTTGCTTTCAGCTTCCTCACATCTTCCGCTGCCCTATCAAAATCAGCCTAAAGCAAAGGAGAAAAGGCACATAGTCCATTCGCTAAGTGTATGCAGGCCCGTCAAACAGATGCAAACCGAAATAAACTACTATTGCTCTGGCTTGACCAGAATTATCATAACTTATTCATGAACCCCACTCCAGGTATTTATGTGTTATATAGACAAGATATGGTGAACAAAATATAATTCTGAATACTGAAAGTGTTCAACTTATCAATGTTTAAGAATTGAAGATGACACAAGTAAATGGAAAAATAACCTGTGTTTTTGGATTGGAAGAATTAATATTGTTAAAATGTCCATACTACCCCAAGCAACCAAGCAACCTACAGATTCAATTCAATCCCTATCAAAAGTCCAGTGGCATTTTTCAGAAATAGAAAAAAACAATCCTAAAATTTGTATGAAACCACAAAAACTCCAAATACCCAAAGCAATCTTGAGAAAGAAAATTATATATCCAGAGGCATCATGCTTTCTGGTTTCAAACTATAATACAAAACTACATTATTCAGAACAGTATGGTACTGGCATAAAAACAGGCACCTAGGTCAATGGAATGGAAAAGAGAGCCCAGAAAGAAACCCATGCATACATGGTCAATTTAATTTAGAACAAATAAGCCAGTCTCTTCAACAAACGGTGTTGGAAAAACTGGACAACCACATGCAAATGAATGAAACTGGACCACTATCTTACACTGTACACAAAAATCAACTCAACATGGATCAAAGACTTGAACGTAAAACTTGAAAGCATAAAACTCCAAGAAGAAAATACAGGTGGCAACTCATTGAAACTTGTCTTAGAGATAATTTTTTTGGATTTGACACCCACAGCAGAAGCAACAAAAGCAAGTGTAAACAAGTAGCATTACATCAAACTAAAAAGCTTCTGCACAGCAAAAAAATCCCACCAACATGAAAAGACAGACCTACCAAATGGAAGAAAATATTCAAAAATCATATAGCTGATGGGAGTTAATATCTAAAATATCTATTAAAAAGTCATACAGCCGAAACCGGTTTGGCTCAGTGGATAGAGCGTCCGCCTGTGGACTGAAAGGTCCCGGGTTCGATTCCGGTCAGGGGCATGTACCTGGGTTGCGGGCACATCCCCAGTAGGAGGTGTGCAGGAGGCGGCTGATCGATATTTCTCTCTCATCGATGTTTCTAACTCTCTATCTCTCTCCTTTCCTCTCTGTAAAAAATCAATAAAATATATTTTTTTAAAAAAAAAATTAAAAAAAGTCATACAATTCAAAAACAAACAATCCAATTACAAATGGGAGGTAGATCTGAATAGACATTATGCCAAATACTGCATGATCTAACTTATACATGGTATATAAAAAACAAACCCAGGAACAAAGAACAGATTGGTGGTTGTGAGAATCAGGGGGTTGGGGGATAAGGAAATAGGTGAAGGTGGTCAAAAGGTTAAAAAAATTGTAAGACATATATTTCCTGTAAGGTAAAGTGCATAAATAAATTTTTCTATTAAAAACTGTTTAATCGCATTACACTCAATGCAGCTTTCTCAATCAACCTCATGGACACCATCTTCACTTCTTCCTAAATCTACACTTCACTATATGTAATAGCTTTGCTACCAATTAATATCTTGTCCAGGGCACATGCCTTTCACAGTCTTCAGCATCAGTATTATTTGTACCCGTTTAATGGACTAGCTAGTTTCTGAGGGCAGTATTTCTGCTTTCATTATGTAGATTCCTTTAAACAAAACTTGTAAGACTTATTTCAACTAGTTTACAGAAAAGAGAAGTTGTTCAGCCAACTTAGAGCTGATTAGTGAAAAGCAACTGGCTTCTTGGGGACTTTGTATACAAATAGACTGAGTAATAAACTTTGTCCTCCTCAGGACTTAACTCTACCTAACTCCCCAGGACCCTCAGCTCAGGACTTGGCCTGAAGCTGCCTCTTGGCATATTTCTCCTGAGACACAGTGCACCTAGAAACTTGGTTCCTGTCCTCTTTTTAACCTCTTAGTGTATATACAAAGGCTATGGTGGTTGTTTTCCTTAATAGAAATTTTCCATTCTTTTTTAAAAAATCATTTTTATGTCTCAATTATGGTTGACATACAATATTAGATTAGTTATTAGACATTACATAACTAAGTGATCAACCTGATAAATTTCACACCTGACACCATACAAAGATATTAGAATATTATTGATTATATTCCCTATGCTGTACTTTACCTCCCCCACGACTATTCTGTAACTATAAATTTGTACTTCCTCATCCTTTCACCTTTTTGCCTGTTCTCCCAATCTACCTCCTATCTGGCAACTATCAACATGTTCTCTATATCTATGAGTCTGTTACTATTTTACTTCATTTGTTTTTTGGGTTTTTTTAGATTCAATCATTGACATATATGTATTTATTGTCATTTTATTGTTCAAATTTTTTATCTTTTTTTTCTTTTTCTTATAGAAGATCCTTTAACATTTCACACCATACTGGTTTAGTTGTGATGAACTCCTTTAGCTTCTTCTTGTCTGGGAAGCTCTTTAACTGTTCTTCAAGTCTGAATGATAGCTTGGCTGGGTAGAGAGAGTAATCTTGGTTGTAAGCCCTTGCTTTTTGTTTTTGTTTTTGTAAGCCCTTGCTTTTTATCGGTTTAAATATCTCCTGCCAATCCCTTCTGGCCTGCAAATTTTCTGTTGTGAAATCAGCTGACAGTCTTATGGAAGCTCCCTTGTAGGCAACTAACTGCTTTTCTCTTGCTGCTTTTAAAATGATCTTTGTCTTTAACTTTTGCATTTTAATTTTGATGTGTCTTAGTGTGGGACTCTTTGGGTTCATCTTGTTTGGGACTCTCTGAGTTTCCTGGACTTGTATGTCTATTTCTTTCATCAGGTAAGTGAAGTTTTCTGTCATTATTTTTTCAACTAGGTTTTCAATTTCTTGTTCCCTCTTTTCCTTCCTGTACCCCCATGATGCAAATGTTGGTACACTTGAAGTTGTCCCAGAGGCTCCTTACATTATCCTCCTTTTGGGGGCATTCTTTTATCTTTTTGCTGTCCTGATTGGGCATGTTTTACTTCCTTACATTCCAAATCACTGATTTGATTCTTGGCTTCAACTCTATTGTTGATTCCCTGTAAATGATTCTTCATTTCAGTTAGTGTAGCCTTAATTTCTGACTGGTCATTTTTTATGCTGTTGAGGTTCTCACTAAGTTCATTGAGCATCTTTAGTATAAGTAGTGTTTTGAACTCTGCATCTAGTAGATTAGTTGTTTCCATTTTGTTTCGTTCTTTTTCTAGAGTTTTGTACTGTTCTTTCACTTGGGACATGTTTCTTTATCTCCTCATTTTGGCAGTCTCCCTGTGTTTATTTCTATAATTAGGTAGAGCTGCTATGTCTTCCAGGTTTGGCAGAGTGTCCTAATATAGTAGGTGTTCTAGGTGTTCTATAGATTCCAGTGACACAGCCTCCCTGATCACCCAAGTTGCACATTCGAGGTTTGTCCCCACCTCCCCCAGTGTGGTCTGTGTATACCCTTCTTTTATAGTTGAGACTTTATCACTGTTGGTATGTCAATGGGATGGATTTACCCCCATGCCAATCAGCTGCAAGGACTGACTTCAACCACCAACCACTGAGCTCTGACCACCAAGCTCCAATCACCATTGAAGATCAACTGTGCAGGGACCCACTCAACAGGACTTCCTTCAATGGGGCTCTGGTGCCTGCTGAGTCTGCCCCTTGAGTGTGTTGCTTGTGGAGGTGGTTGGGTAGTGATGCTTCGACATGGTCTAAAGCTGCTTACTGGGTGCACTGGCCCTGGGGCCTCCCAGGAGGTGCAGGCCACAGTTAGCCGCCACCTGTATTCTGCTCTGGACCACCTGGCATGAGCTACAAAGTGATCTGCAGATGGCTGCTACTTGTGCTGGGCTTGGAGGTGCTCAGGTAAGGCCACACTGTGAACCAAGGCTGGCTGTTGTTAGTGCCGGGCTCGGGGCCACTTAATGAGGTATTGGGCATGCTGATGCTAGATGCTACTTGTTTGATAGATTTTTAAAAGAAAATCTGAAGCATGAGCACAACAAAGCCATTCACATGGAAAAGCCACTGGAAGAACAGCAGGGGTAGGCCTGAAAGTTGGGTGGAGCAGGGCCTCAGGAAACCATCAGGGCAAACTGTGTGAGCCAGGTTGATGGAATCTCAGATATGGTCCCTGCCTGTGGGCTCTGTAGGGTGAAAGCTCATCAAAGGCACAATGGCCTCTACTAGCACTTATGTCTGGGAGAAAGATGTCCCTCCAGCTCTTGCTGTGATGCTAGACAATTCAGTTCCTCTCCATATGTCCCTTTTGAGTTGCTGCCCCAGTGCTGGAGCTCAGAGCTAAGAATAAATCTGTGTGAGGGCCCTTTAAGAGGAATTGCCTGGGATTCCAGCATCCCTCTGTTTCCCTCAGCCTCAATCTCCCCTGGTTTTTGCAGCCAGAAGTTATAAGGACTACTCTTCCTGGCAATGGAACCCTGAGCTGGGAGCTTGGAGTGGGGTTGGGGCCCCTCGCTCCTCAGGGGGGACCTCTGCAGCAGAGAGATCCCTCCCAATTTTTATCTGCCAGATGTGAGTATGGGACTAGCCCTCACATCTCTGCCCCTCCTACCAGTCTCTATGTGTTTCTTCTTTCATTTCCTAGTTGTAGGACTTCCATTCAGCCAGTTTTCAGGCAGTTCTGAATAATGATTGTTGTGTAGTTTAGTTTTAATTCTGATGTGGCTGTGGAAGGAGGCAAGTGTTTACCTAAGCCACCATCTTTTTTTTTTTTTTAAATTGATTTCAGAGAGGCAAGGACAGGGAGAGAAAGATAGAAACATCAATGATGAGAGAGAATCATTGATTGGCTGCCCCCTGCATGCTCCCTACTGGGGATCGAGCCTGCAACCCAGTCATGTGCCCCGACCGGGAATCGAACCATGACCTCCTGGTTCGTAGCTCAATGCTCAACCACTGAGCCACGCTGGCTGGGCTAAGCCATCATCTTTACTGGAAGTTTCACATTCTATTTTTTAATAGACTATATTTTACCTAATGTTATTTGTTTTAAACCTGGGATAAGCAGTAATTGTCGAGTATCAAACACGACAGTCTCAGCGAGGCATTCTATCCCCACCCTGCATTTTCTTTCTCCAAACCCAAAGAACCAAATGCCTGGCAGAGAAAGAAGATAGCCCCACTGTAATTTCAGAACCCCAGTTATCTCAGCAGAGCTGCTAGATAAAATTTCTATCCAGCACCAAAGACAGGACAGTAGCACAACTGAATAGTTGTTTTGTAATGAACAAAAATCCCTTGCAAATGGGAGACCAGAGTCTCCAACCTAAATAACGTTGAAAATGACCCCAATTATTCCAGGAATCTGAGAACCATGGGTCCATGTGACAAGGGACAAACCCCTGCCTCATCTTCCTGAATATTTCTAGGAAACTGTCAGTTCCATTATATATAACATCATGGTTAAGAACACAGACTTGAGCTGGACTTGGTGGTTTGAATCTAAGCTTCACCACTTCAGAGCTGTGTGACCTTGGGCAAGTTACTTAACCCCTCTGTTTCTTCATCTGGAATATGGGCCAATAACACCACCTATCTACAAGGTTGTTAGGCAGATTTAAATAAGTTAACATATGTAAAATATTCAAAATAGTGCCTGGCACATAGTGAGTGATCAGTAAAGTTTAACTACTATTATTTTTATTACAAGACTCTTTGAGGAAAAATAAACTAGTCCTAGAAAAAAAACGAAAAAAGTATTCACAATGAAGCAAGACATGAAAAAAATTTAAAAAATAATTTAACAAAGAATACAAAATTGTTTTCATACAATCAGCTTTGTAAGTAATATGGAAAAAATAAAGACTAGAAAAAATATAATAAAATATGTAAAAATTACCTTTGATTACTGGTAAGTTTTCTGGTTGTTTTAATACTTTCTATACTCTTCAAATCTTCTACAATGTGCATGTACTGTGTCTATAATTAGGACAACATAAAAACGCTACAACAATGGTGGGGCTTCGTAAGGGCAAGACAGGGCAGGGCTATTCAGAGAGGCGTGGGGTTCTTCCCCTTCGGTTTACCAGGAGTCTCCTGTGTCCTGTTGTGAAGTTTCATGCCCTTTTCCAGTAACAGCAACTCAACTGCTTTTGGCAAGCCAAACCTTGATTAGAATTCTAAGGCTCGGTACCTGCCTTCTAGGAAGAAGTTTCTGAAAAATTGTTCTTCATATTATGGACAGGCTAATGAATATCTCAGACCCTCTCCACAGAGGAGTTCAGCCCCTGACACAGATTCACAGGCAGTGTCAGGGGTCCTTGTCCCTCCTCCCTCCCCAGGTAGAGAAACCCATTCCAGGGCAGGGCCCAGGATCCTTTTCTTTCCAGCACACCCTTCCCTGGCACCCTGACTTGGTACAGTCCTGCTCTACGGCGTGGCTCCCAGGTGCCCTCCTCTCTGAGGACTTTCCCATCCAGCCATGATGAGCTCTAGTGCAAAGAACACCGTGAGAGACACACTGCTATGGGATTCTGCCCAAGCACCTAGGCTCCTCTGAGCCTCGGCTTTTGCTGAAAAAAAAAGATCCTATCAATCTAAAGCAGGGAGGTGTTAGGGTTAAATACAATTAAGAATGTAAATATTTTTATTTTATTCTGTTGATTCTGCCTGCCAGAGCTCATCACCTGAAACATACTATTTAACACACGTATTGGCTAGGCAGCCAGGGATGAACAGGGCAGCCAGTTCTCAAGGAGCTCAGGGACCCCTGGGAGATGAGCAGGTCAGTAATGATCATGTGATATTTGGGTGCTCTGGGAACAAAGAGGAGGGAACAGCAGTAGGGCCAGGAGAATCCTTCCCAGAGGAGATAGAGCTGAGCTGAGCTGGAGGTCAGCGCTTGTGGGATGGTCTGGAACAGGGAGGGGTTGCAGGCAGCATGGACAGCAATTATCAGGGCTCAACATAAAGGCTGGGTGGGACTGTATATGTTTGTTCCCTCATAGATCCACAATAGAGGGCAGACATAAATATTCATCTTGGTAGAAGAGCCATGCCTTACAGAGTGCTGGCAAGTGGTACAGCCTGTGTGCGCTCCTTATTGAGTAAATGACTACATGAGTGGATATGAGGGGGGTCTGAAAGTTACCATAGGTGAGAAGCAGCTTCAAATGTACAGCCGTTCACATTGAATTCTAAAGTACTCTGGGCAAAGGGGAACGTTTAGTAATATTCCCGTGCTTCTGTGGAGCTGGGCTCGATGCTGTCAGTGAAGAATTTCTGCCTCATCAGAGCTGCCTGTCCTGGATGAGCCCAGTCCTTAACATACTGGATGAATGCACATGTGCCTCATTCCCTGGCAACTGTGGTGGAGAGTCTTTGAAACAACTGCATTCAGGCCTCTCCCCAGACCCTTTCCTGCTCCTGTGTTCATCACAAGGACCCCTGGCCACACCCCCGGTGGTAGCAGTGAGCCCAGTGTCCCTCCTGTCTCTCACAGTGGGTGCATCCTGCCTTCTTGGAGACGGACACAGTCTTTCACTGCCTAGGAGCACTGACCACCCTGGCCTCTGTGTAAAGCTCCTGAAGACAGCCCCCGAGGGTGACTCTCGCCTACTCTAACTTTACTTTCTGCAGCCAAAGAACATGGTCACTGCATATGGTGTTGACAGTGCCTTTGTGAGCAATCCGTTCCCACCGAGAAACTGAATTAGGAAGATCAAACTGCACAAAGGTGTGTGCGAAAGGGGTTAGACGTGTGCCAATTGTAAAATAATGAATTCCCTAGCTCAAAAAGATGTGTTTTCTTGAAGAAGCAGTCTGCCTTTTATTTTCTAAGAAAGAAACATGTCCAAGTTTACACCACTGTCAGCCTGCCTAAGAACTTTGCTGCAGAAGTAAACATATTGTAATTCTAAAATACAACTTTGAGGTTATAGCTGAATCAGCAATACCATGTGTTTTGCCAAACAAAACTAAGCAAAGTACCAAGCTAAAAAGGAAGAAAGTTTTGACATTGAAAGATTTGATTATTTGGGGAAAGTTCAATATGAATTATGTCACATATAAGAGAAAAATATCTGAAGGTTCAAGGACATGCTTATCCTTATTGGACACTTAGCACATGCCACCCACTTTTAAATGCTCTATACATGCAGCAAATTTAGCCTTAACAATCCCTCTCTTCCATTTTTAGACGAGGAAACTGAGGCACAGAGGGGTTAAGTATGTCACAGGCTAAGAAGGCGAGAGGTTTGGATTTGAAATGGGCTGGCTCTGAGGATGTGCCTTTGCCCACCATAACATATTCCTTAAAGAATTGTTAATGAAGTGAGCCATGCTCGTTCCAAGAAATTGTAAGCAGATATTTTTAAATTATATTTTAGAAAAATATTTAATAGCTAGAGGCCTGGTGCACAAAAATTTGTGCACTGTGGCGGGGGGGGGGGGGGAGGGGAGGGCCGTGGGGGGGAAGGTCTGTCAGTCCGGCCTGCCCCTTCTCACAGTCTGGGAGCCCTCAGGGGATGTCCTACTGGGGAGTCCCTCTGCAGGAGACAATTGGGCTGATCAGGGGAAGGTGCCACCCCCATTACCCCACTGCTGCTGCCACTGCTGGCCGCCATAGCTGCGAGGCCTGAGCCCCAGGCCTTGCAGCCCCCTTTGGCTTTGTCTGGATGGACGTCTGGAGGACGTCACCCTAATTAGCATATTACCCTTTTATTAGTATAGATGAGAAAATGCTGGTAACAGTGTTACATAAAGGAACAAATGTATATACATAATAGCATAATCAGTGTCTATATATACCCACATATTTGCACATAGGTACATACACATGGCCATGCCTGGGTGCATACATACATATTTTTGGCATACATGTATAAGTAACCTATTAAGTCAGCAGTGATCACCTGGGTGAGGAATTTCTGATGGTTTTGTTTGTTTGTTTTTTGTGGTTTTTAAAAAATATATATTTCATTGATTTTTTACAGAGAGGAAGGGAGAGGGATAGAGAGTTAGAAACATCGATGAGAGAGAAACATCCATCAGCTGCCTCCTGCACACCCCCTACTGGGGATGTGCCGGCAACCAAGGTACATGCCCTTGACCGGAATCGAAACTGGGACCCTTCAGTCCACAGGCCGACGCTCTATCCACTGAGCCAAACAGGCTAGGGCTGATGGTTTTTTTATTTACTTTATATCTGTTCTCTTTCCCAAAACTTTTCACCCTGAACATATATATTTTTCACATATCAGAAAAATGGTATTTTTAAATTGAGTTTTACAGATATTTGCCCTTGCCCAAGAGACCCCTTGTTTGTACTAAAAGCAAAGGGGCGCGAGTGAGACCCCAAACGTCCTCGCCTCCACCTCCAAGAAGGAGGCAGGGCAGGGCCACGCTGTCCTCCCCGATCCACCCGGCGACCAGCTCCCTGGGGCCGGTGCCTACCTAGCGTTTAACCAGTCCCTGGGGTTCACAGGAGTTGCCATAGGGAGCCCCGGCTCGCCATCAAAAGAACGGCGCCGGCGTGGTCTCCACTGCAGTAAGGGGGCGCTGGCGAAGGGGTGGGAGCGTCCTCGGGATCAGCGCGGACCGCTCTCGGGTGGCGAGGACGCCGGCAGCAGCTGCCCAAAGCGCCGGGTCCGAGGTGCACAGCCGCCTCGGGGGCGTCCTGCCCGGCCCACGTCCCCGGAACACTGCCCTCTGGGGAGCTGTCCTCCCGCGCGGCTGCCCGCCCTCCGGCTCACCTGCAGGGACATGGTAGTGCGCTCCACCGATGCTGCACCCAGACGCTCGTTTCCCCGGACCCCAGCTCCCCCCGCTCTTTAAAGGCCGTCAGTCCGGGAGGGCGGGGCTGGGAGGTGAGTGGCACTCGCCCCGCCCGCCTGAGGCGCCCGCTGTGGTCCTCCTGCCTCCTGGATGCGCTGGGCTCTGGAGGATGGTCAGCTGCAAGTGCGGCGGCAACTGGAAAAGCGAAAGGAAGGGAATTTAAATGAGTTCTTCTCCACTCAGGGCTCGCTGCCCGATTCTTTCTCAAGAGGCTGTTGGCAGGAAATCCAACGAGGCCTCCCTGGGCACGGACCTCACTTATGATTCTTCTTTTTTTATGTATACCTCCATCCTCCCCATGATGCCTAGAACCCTGGACGGTAGACAGTCTTTGTTCAGGTCTTTCACGTCTCCCCAGCTGCCTCTAGACACACTTCATCAGGAGTGAAAAAGGCTGGTAGTTTCGGTCTTTTCTTTGTAAAGCAGAAACACATTCTGAACACGTGCTGCAACCACACTAACTTTCACAGGCACAAGACTACAGACTGACCGCATTTTTTTTTCTGGGGGGAAATCAGTGTCACTCCAAGTTTGCAGCCACACAGAATGGGATTGTGATCTACACTGATTAAATTTTCAAAGAGCTGGGACCGCATTTCTCGGGCATATGAGGAGTTCATTTACAGCTCTTTGTTTAAATAGGAACATTGTGCAGCGAGGTGACAGGAAGAATCCATAAAGTCAGGGTCAAGAAAGTTACTAATTTGAAACGTCTAAGGATACAACGATGTCGAACAATGCAAGGGACAGAGAAGAAAAGCCTCAACACATTTTAGCAAAATTACATTTTAAAAATATTTGCTACTTTTTCATGTAAATCCCTTGGTTTGTAATTTTCTCCTTGAAAATACTTTCATAGTGGTATCAGTTGAATTTCCAAGGAAAGAACAAAAAGCAAATGTCAGAAAAACTTAGTGGGCACGATTTTTGTGTTTTTATTTTCTAAATTCCTGGGCGCTGGGCAATACACACTGGGTTCAAAGGCAAACGACAGCTTCAGAAAAGTGAAATAAGCAGCTTCACAGGCAAAAAAACACCCAAAAAACAAAAAACAACAACAACAACAAACCGCGAAGGGAGTTTATCACTACCAAACAAGCAATGCAAGAAATGCTGAAGGGACTGGTATAAAAATAAGAAATCAAAAGGGAAGAAGGAACACAGGCATAAAAAATAAAAATGGCTACAAACAAGTACCTATCAATAATAACTTTAAACATAAACCAACTAAATGCTCCAATCAAAAGTGGCTGAATGGATAAAAAAACATGACCCATATATATGATGCCTATAAGAGACCCACCTCAGAAAAAGGGACTCACACAGAATGAGAGTGAAGAGATAGAAAAATATCTTTCAGGAAAATGGAAATGAAAAAAAAGCTGGGGTAGCAATACTTATATCTGACAAAATAAACCTCAAAGTGAAGGCCATAACAAGAGATAAGGAAGGTCACTTCATAATACTAAAGGGGTCTAAACAACAAGAGCACATAACCCTGGTAAACATATATGCACCCAATGCAGGAGCACCCAAATACATAAAAAACCTCCTGGAAGATATCAAGGGAGAGATCGACAACAACACAATCATAGTAGGGGATGTTAATACCCCATTGACATCACTGGATAAATACTCTAGAAAAAAAATCAGTAAAGAAACAGCAATCCTAAATGAGTCACAAGATCAGATGGACTTAATTGACATCTTTAGAACATTTTATCCAAGCCATGGAATATACATTCTTCTCAAGTGCACATGGGACATTTTCAAAGGTAGACCACATATTGGGATACAGGCAAAGTCTCTCCAAATTCAAGAAGATTGAAATCATATCAAGCATCTTCTCAGACCACAATGGCATAATCTATAACAATAAAAGCATAATATGTACCTGACTGAATGGCCAAAGAGCAGAAGACCACCTGGACGACCACGCTATGACACCCACTGGCACCAGGCCAGCCAAGGCGAGTGCGATGTGATTGGTCGGGGGCCTGGTCGTTGCCCCATGATTGCCCTGCAGAGGGAGGCCCAGGACACTGGCCAGCAGGGCCATCGATCAGTCAATTGGAGGGCTTCATGATCGCTGCAAAGAGGAAGGCGCAGGCCACCAACCGGCAGGCTGTGGTGGGTGGGCAGGGTCTTCCTCTATGGAGAGATCCATTGAGGAGCCTTGACTGGGTGGGCAGGGCCTACCTTTTTGGGGTGATCGGTTGTGGGGCTCCCGGACTGTGTGAGAGGGCACAGGCCAGGCTGAGGGACCCCCGACCCCGAATGCACAAATTTTGTGTACTGGGCCTCTAGTATAAGAAATAAACTACAATAAAAACAATGAAAAAGAGTTCAAACACTTGGAAGCTGAATAGCATGCTATTAAACAATGATTGGGTTACCAAAAAGATCAAAGAAGAAATTAAAAACATCCTGGAAATGAATGACAATGAAAACAAAACAATTCAAAATCTGTGGGACACAGTGAAAGCAGTCCTGAGAGGGAAGTTTATACCTCAGGCCTACCTCAAAAAGACAAGAAAAAATGGAAATAAATTATCTAACTCTACAACTTAAAGAATTAGAAAGAGAGCAACAAGGAAAGCCCAGAGTGAGCAGAAGGAAGGAGATAATAAAGATAAGAGCAGAAATAAATGACATAGAGACAAAAAAATAATACAGAAGATCAATGAAACAAAGAGCTGGTTCTTTGAAAGGATAAACAAGATTGATTTTCTTGTTTATTCTAGTCAGCCTCACCAAGAAGCAAAGACAGAGGACTCAAATGAACAAAATCAGAAATGAAAGAGGCGAAATAACAACAGACCCCACAGAAATACAAAGGATTGTAAAAAAACACACACCAAAAAACTATGAACAATTCTATTCCAAAAAACTAGACAACCTAGAGGAAATAGACATATTCCTAGAAAAATACAACCTTCCAAAACTCAATAAGGAAGAATCTAAAAACTCAATAGGCTGATAACTATGGAGGAAATGGAAGCAGTCATCAAAAAGCTTCCAGTAAACAAAAGCCCAGGGCCAGACAGCTTCACAGGGCAGTTTTACCAGACAGTCAAAGAAGAACTAAAACTTATCCTCCTCAGATTATTCCAAAAAATTCAAGAGGAAGAAATACTTCCAAGCTCATTCTATGAAGCCAGCATCACCCTAATACCAAAACTAGATAAAGACAACATAAGAAAGAGAATTACAGGCCATTATCCCTCATGAACATAGATGCCAAAATCCTCAACAAAATCCTAGCAAATCAGATCCAGCAGTACATCAGAAAGATCATACACCATGACCAAGTAAGATTTATCCCAGGGATGCAAGTATAGTACAGTTTCCGCAAATCAATAAATGTGATACATCATATAAACAAATTGAGAGATAAAAACCACATAGTCATATCAATTGATGCAGAAAAAGCATTTGCTGATAAATACCCTCAGCAAAGTGGGAATAGAGAGATCATACCTCAACATAATAAAAGTCTTATATGACAAACCCACAGCCAACATCATACTCAATGGACAAAAACTAAAACCGTTTCACCTAAGAACGGGGAACAAGACAGGGATGCCCACTTTCACCACTCCTGTTCATCATAGTACTGGAAGTGCTAGCCATAGCAATTAGACAAGAAGAAGAAATAAAAGGTATCCAAATTGGAAAAGAAGATGTAAAACTGTCATTATTCACAGATGACATGCTATTGTACATAGAAAACCCTAAAGACTCCATCAAAAAACTACTAGACTTAATAAATGAATTCGGCAATGTAGCAAGATACAAAATTAATGCTAAGAAATCTATGGCATTTTTATACAACAAATAGTGAACTTAGAGAAAGAGAGATTAAAAAAAACAATTCCATTTACCTTGCACACAAAAAATTAAGATGCCTAGCAATAAACTTAATTAAGGAGGTAAAAGACTTGTACTCGGAAAACTACAGGACACTGAAAACAGAGATAGAGGAAGACATAAATAGATGGAAGAACATACCATGTTCATGGATTGGTAGAATCAACATCTTTAAAATGTCCATACTACCCAAAGCAATCTATAGATTCATTGCACTCCCCATTAAAATACCAATGGTATATTTCACAGGCCTAGAACAAACTCTCCAAAAATTCATCTGGAATAAAAAAAGACCCTGAATAGCTTCAGCCATCCTGAGAAAGAACAAAGTAGGTGGGATCTCAAAACCAGATATCAAGCTGTATTACAAAGCCACTGTTCTCAAAACTGCCTGGTACTGGCACAAGAACAGACATATAGACCAATGGAATAGAATAGAAAATCCAGAAATCGACCCAAACCACAATGCTCAATTAATATTTGACAAAGAAGGCAAGAACATACAATGGAATCAAGGCAGTCTCTTCAATAAATGGTGTTGTTGCCGAAACAGGTTTGGCTCAGTGGATAGAGCGTTGGCCTGTGGACTGAGGGGTCCCAGGTTCGATTCCGGTCAAGGGCATGTGCCTGGGTTGCGGGCACATATCCAGTAGGAAATGTGCAGGAGGCGGCTGATCGATGTTTCTCTCTCATCGATGTTTCTAACTCTCTATCTCTCTCCCTTCCTCTCTGTAAAAAATCAATAAAATATATTTTAAAAAAAATAAATGGTGTTGGGAAAATTGGACAGATACATGCAAAAAAATTATGCTTGACCACCAACTTACACCATACACAAAAATAAACTCAAAATGGATAAAGAACTTAAACGTAAGATGGGAAACCATAAAAATCTTAGAGGAATCCACAGGCAGCAAAATCTCAGACATATGCCGAAGCTATATCTTCACAGATACAGCTCCTAGGGCAATGGAAACTAAAGAGAAAATAAACAAATGGGACTACATCAAAATAAAAAGCTTCTGCACAGCAAAAGAAACCATCAACAAAACAACAAGAAAGCCCACTGCATGGGAGAACATATTTGCCAATGATATTTCCGATAAGGGTTTAATTTCCAACATTTATAGGGAACTCATACAACTTAACAAAAGGAAGATAAACAACCCAATCAAAAAAATGGCCAACAGACATAAATAGACACTTTTCAAAAGAGGACATACAGAAGGCCAAGAGACATATAAAAACACTAGAGGCCTGGCACATGAAATTCATGGGGGGTATAGTCCGTAGGCCTGGCCTGTGATTAGGGCCATCTTCCCCAACTGCTGGCAGCTGGCCCTGCCCCCCGCCACCACCCACCCCCAGTTCCCCATTTGCCACTGGGCGATCAAAGCCTGCCGGCCAGTGGGGAGGGACCAAGAGGTGGTCAGTGTGCCTCACAGTGACTGGTTGAGAGATCATTCTGGTCGTTCTGCCATTTGGTCAATTTGCATATTATTCTCATATATATTTAGATGTTCAAAGTCACTAATCATTGCAGAGATGCAAATCAAAACAACAATGAGGTACCATCTCACACCTGTCAGACCTGTCAGAATGGCTATCATCAACAAATCAACAAATGACAAGTGCTGGTGAGGGAAACCTTGTGCACTGCTGGTGGGAATGCAGACTGTGGAGAACAGTATGAAGTTTCCTCAAAAAACTAAAAATGGAACTCCCATTTGACCCAGTGATCCCACTTTTAGAAATATATACCAAGAAACTAGAAACACCAATAAGAAAGGATATATGCACCCCTATGTTCATAGCAGCACAATTTACAATAGCTAAGATTTGGAAACAGTCTAAGTACCCATCACTAGATGAGTGGCTTAAAAAGCAGTGGTACATCTACACAATGGAGTACTATGCTGCTGTAAAAAAGACGAAACTCCTACCATTTGCAAAAGCATGAATGGACCTTGAGAGCATTATACAGTTGGAGAAAAATAAGTATCACATGATCGCACTCATTTGTGGAATATAATGAACAACATAAACTGACGAACAAAAACAGATCCAGAGACAGAGAAGCATCTATCAGACCGTCAAAGTTCAGAGGGAAGGCAGGGGAGGGTGGGGGTAAGGGGAATAGATCAACCAGAGGACTTGTATGCATGCATATAAGCATAAGCAATGGACATAGACACTAGGGGAGTGAGAGCATGAGCGGCGAGGTGGCGGGGACAATAGGGGGATAAGGACAGATATGTAATACCTTAATCAATAAAGAAAAAAAAATTTTTAAAAAAGGACAAAAAATTGTGCTATCCTAACTATAATTGAAAAATAAATAAATAAAATGGTTCTATCTTGTTCAAAGAGGAGTAGATGAGGTAGAAAGAATAATCTCTTTAGGAAGTAGCTCAGGTGTTTCACAATTAATATTTAGATGCTATATCCAGCCATGCTTGTCTTGCCTGCGTGCTGGAAACCCGCCCTGCTTCGTGCCTGTGACTGGAACTACATAATTTTTACTGAGATAAGTCTTTTCTGGCCTTGACACTAAACCTCTCTAACCTGCTCAGGCAGCAGCCTGTCTTGCTTTGGGCCACTATCCAGAGCAAGTTGAGGCTCCCCTCTAAAATTTTCAGGTCCTTATAATTATGCAGCATTTCCCCACTACCCTCACAGTCCACCCTATTCAGAGCAGCAGCAGCAGCCAGAATTTCAGGCAAAAATGTTTATTTTATTATTTTTATATATATATATATATTTAAATATATTTTATTTATTTTTTACAGAGAGGAAGGAAGAGGAATAGAGAGTCAGAAACATCGATGAGAGAGAAACATCGATCAGCTGCCTCCTGCACACCTCCTACTGGGGATGTGCCCACAACCAAGGTACATGCCCTTGACCGGATTCGAACCTTGGACCTCTTGGTCCGCAGGCCGACGCTCTATCCACTGAGCCAAACCGGTTAGGGCAAGGTAAAAATGTTTATAAATAAAATAGCCAGACTTTAGGAAGCAGTCCTTGAAAATTCAACATATTTCAATGACAGCAAGTGCTACAACCTGTTTAGCTCTTGGTGAAAAAAAGAATGGTATGGTTTGATAAATAGCAGGCACTTATATTTGTACCTCAATTGTACCTTTCCAAGTAATACTGTACTGTTGATGCTGAGGATAGGAAATTCAATTTAGCGGCGGAGGTTAGGCAGGCATTTATGATGTTTCCCTGAAAATCTTTCTTCTACCCTCACCCACTGCCAAGTTGTGGAAGGTACTAAAGTTGGATGAGGCTTTATATAAACCTGACTTGTTCATTGATGGCCAATTGAAGGATATCCTGTGTACATTAAACTGGGATTGAGCTATGGAACAATACTTATTTATTTGTTCATTCGTTGCTCATCTACATAATTAAAATTTACAAAATCTCTGTTGTGTCTTTGTTTTGTTTTGTTTTTAAAGGATCACTCTTGCCCTGGCTGGTGTGGCTCAGTTGGTTGAAGTGTCATCTCATACATGGGAAGGTCTCAGGTTCGATTCCTGGTCAGGGCACATACCCAGGTTTCAGGTTTGAACAGGGCATGTACAGGAGGCAACCGATGTTTCTCTCTCTTCCTCTTTCTCCTTTCCTTTCTCTCTAAGATCAATAAAAGTATGTCCTTGGGTAAGGAAGTAAATAAACAAACAAATAAAAAATAAATAAAGGATCACTCTTGTGGAAAATAGATTACAAGGGAACAAGGTTGGAAGCAAGATCCTTACTGTCATGATAATCCAGGGAAGAACTTAGGGTGCTTCAAACTCGGGTGGTAGCAATGGAGGTAGTGAGAAATAGTTCAGATTCTGGGTATATTTTGAAGGTAGTCAACAGGAGTCCCTGATAGAGTCTACATGGGGTGTGGAAGAAAAAGAGGAGTCAGGATAACTATAACATTTTTGACCTGATTGGTTGGGTTGGTGGCAAAGATCAGAAGTTCAGTTTTGGACCTGCTACTTTTGAGATATCAGACATCCAAGTGGAGATGTCAAGTAGGAAGTTTGATATCCAAGTCTAGTCTGGGTTGGGTATATGAATCTGGGACTCATGGACATAGAGATGGTATTAGACCGTGAGACTGGGTGGCCCAAGAAACTGAATGTATATAGAGGAGAAAAGGGAAGAGGAATGAAGATTGAGCCATGGCAAATTCCAGCCTTAAGAGTTCAGGGAGAAGGAGCAAAGAAGACAAAGAAGTGACCATTAAAGAAACAGGAGAGAGAGAGAGAGAGAGAGAGAGAGAGAGAGAGAGAGAATGAGAATGTGGTGTCCCAGAAATCAAGTCAAGAGAGAATAGCAAGTAAGAAAATATATTAAATTAGGTGAGGACTGAGAGTTAATGATTGGATCTAGGTTATTGTCAAGATCATTGATGACTTGAAGAGAAGTTTTAATGCAGTAATGGAAGGCAAAGCCTCATTACAGTGGTTTTAAGAGAAAACATCAATAGCAATTATAGAATAGTTTTTGGGCGCTGTTTGTTTATCCCTCTACCTATATCACTCTGTCTTAATTATTAAATCATCCCAATTGTGTTCTTCTTCAGGAAGAGTTCTTTTTGGCACTTTGCTCTTGTATGTAAACTTTAACATCCATGAATCAAGTTCCACAAAAGGAAATTCTTGAAGTTTTCTTGGAATTGCATTAAAACTCTACATCAATTGGGTGGGGGTAGGGAGGCAGGTATCTTTTAAAAAAATTCATCTTTATTGTTAATGGTATTACAGAAGACCCTTCTTTTATCCCCAATTGACCCCCTCCTCCCCACTCCTGCCCCCCTCCCCAGGCCTTCACCACCCCTATTGTCTGTCTCACTGGGTTATGCATATATGCATATAAATTCCTTGGTTAATCTCTTCCCCCACCCCCATAAGAATCCTCAGTTTGTTGCATTCTTCTTTATTTCTGGCTCTATTTTGTTTGTCAGGTTTATTTTTTGTTCATTACATTCCACCTATAACTGAGATTATGAGATGCTTGTCTTTCTCGGATTGGCTTATTTCATTGAGCATAATCATCTCTAGGTCCCTCTATGCTGTCTCATTGTATCAGTGAAAATTCTATGTTTTCTTCTAGGATGTTTATGGTTGCACAACTAAACATTTAATTTTTTTTTTCATTTTGAGTTTATTCTTGTGTATGATATACATTGGCAGTCTGATTTAATTTGTTTGCATGTTCCTGTCCAATTATCCTAATACCATTTATTTATTTTTTTATTCTTTTTTTTAAATATTATTTTTTTGCCGTTTTTATTTTTTTATTTTTTCTCATCATTTTACTTTTTTTAAAATAATTTTTATTGCTTGAAGTATTACAAAGAGTATTACATATGTCTCCCCCCCCGCCCCCCCCTCCCCCCACCCCTTGACATTCCCCCCGCCCCTACCCCCTAGTGTCTTGTGTCCATTGGTTATTCTTATATGCATGCATATAAGTCCTTCGGTTGATCTCTTGACGCCCCCCCCCCCAAACCCTCCCCAGGCTTGCCACTGTAGTTTGACAGTCTGTTCAATGCTCTTCTGCCTCTGCATCTACCCCTGTTCATCAGTCTATACTGGTCCCCACTATCTGTCCCAACCTCACTGGAGCTGTCCCAGCCTCACTGGGGCCGTTTCGTCTTCACCAGGGCCATCTTGACCTCACCGGGGCTGTCCTGACCTCATTGGGGCTGTCCCGACCTCACTGGGGCCATCCCTACCTCACGCGGGCTATCCCTACCCCACCGGAGCTGTCTCAACCTCACCGGGGCCATCTTGACCCTGCCGGTGCCGTACATCGCCAGGGTCGTTTCGGCCTCATCGGGGCCGTCCCAATCTCACCGGGGCCATCCCGACCTCACTGGGGCCATTTGACCTCACCGGGGCCGTCTCCACCTCCCCGGGGCCATTCCAACTTCACCGGGGCCGTTTCGGCCCCACCAGGGCTGTCCCAGCCTCACCGGGGCCGTCCCGACCTCACCGGGGCCCTTTCAACCTCACCAGGGCCGTCCTGACCTAATACCATTTATTGAAGAGACTGTCTTCACTCCATTGTATGCTCTTGCCTCCTTTGTCAAATATTAATTAAGCATAATGGCTTGGGTTGATTTCTGGGTTCTCTGTTCTGTTCTATTGATCTATATGCCTGTTTCTGTGCCAGTACAGGGCTGTTTTGATTACAGTGTGTTGGACTTACTGCTGACCTTAGAGTTAAGGTGTCCCAAGGTGAACTTAAAATTAGAAAAAGCTGGTGAGAAGCTTGGCCCAAATCATCTCAAAAGAAAGATACTTCCCTGAATTCACCTGATGAACTGATCTTTATAATGGAATCAAAACACAGTGCCAACCAAATATAAAAATAACAACAAACACTAACAAACCAAATAAAATAAAAATGATAAAAAGAAGTGTAAAAGGAAAAAATGAGAAAAAAGAAAAAGAGTAAAGAAAAAAGGGGAAAACGAAAAGTAAATAACAAAATAGACAAAAACCTCTTCATGTCAAGGAGAAACTTGGGTCAGATTTCTTCCTGTCATTAAAACCAGCTTCTTGAGCTATAAAAACAACACAATGTGGGCCCAGCCAGGGACTTAAAAAGGGGCTTGAAATTTCATAACAATGGCTCTTTGTGAGGCCAGTCCAAGAAGTGGACCTATCAAAGCTGGATTGTCTATTGTAGTTTACTTTCTGGACTCTAGAATACTTTACTCTTTTAATAAATTATTGAGGATCCCAAAGAGCTTTTTGGTTAGATGGGTTATGGCTATCAATATTTATCTTATTAGAAATGAAAATCTGATGCTAACAGTTGCCTTTTCATTTCCAGTTTGAAAAGCTATAATACTTTTTGGTGTTGAAGAGCTCATAATGTGTACACACACAAAAAGTTATATATGAACTAAACTGCATTTTTCTTTTTTATTATTTATATATATTTTATTATTGCATATGTGTCCTCATCCCCCCATAACCCCCCAACTCCCCCACTCATGCCCTCACCCCCCTGTTGTCTGTGTCCATTGGTTAGGCTTATATGCATACATACAAGTCCTTTGGTTGATCTCTCCCCCTTACCCCCACCCTCCCCTACCTTCCTTCTGAGGTTTGACAGTCTGATCGATGCTTCTCTGTCTCTGGATCTGTTAAAACTGCATTTTTCAAAGATTTTTTTTTTAAAGATTAAAATTTTTCTGCCTGTTTGATATTCCTTCCTGCTTTGTGAAATTTTCTGTGATGAGTTTAACATTACTTAACAGAGATGTTAGCTTTTTTAAAAAAAATCGAACTAGTTTAAATGCTAGATCAAATACTACAATATGGTTATCCATTTCTGATATATGGTTTCATGTGATTGGTTGAATTTGTTTATGGTCTGATTGGTCTAAACATCTGTCAATGATGAAGTTTCACAAAATGCAAGGATGGTAATCAGGGTCAGCAAAAACATTCATATTTGTGTTGTTTATAAGAAATGAATCTATTACTGCTTGCTATCAGATTCATTACGAACAGATCTGTAGGCAGACAATCAAAACAGGAGTCTTAATACTTTCTGACTAAGCAATAAAATGAAGCCATCTCTACAATAGTAAAGTTATAAATTCAGTGATGTCAGAATATTGAATTAGTGATTACAATGCTTGTGTTATATTACAACTTTAGATAAGTAAAGTTAGGATGTTCTAAGAGAACTCCTTGCAACAAAAGGACTGCCGGGCTGGTGTGGCTCAGTGACTGAGCATCAACCTATGAACCAGGAGGTCATGGTTTGATTCCCAGTCAGGATGCATGCCTGGGTTGTGGGCTTGATCCCCGGTGCGGGGTGAGCAAGAGTCAGCTGACCAATGATTTCTCTCTCCTCCTCCTCCTCCTCCTCCTCCTCCTCCTCCTCCTCCTCCTCCTCCTCCTCCTCCTCCTCTTCCCCCTCCTCCTCCTCCTCCTCCTCCTCCTCCTCCTCCTCCTCCTCCTCCTCCTCCTCTTCCTCCTCCTCCTCCTCCTCCTCCTCCTCCTCCTCCTCCTCCTCCTCCTCCTCCTCCTCCTCCTCCTCCTCCTCCTCCTCTCCTCTCTTCTTCTTCTTCTTCTTCTTCTTCTTCTTCTCTCTCCCTCCCTCTCTCTCTCTCTCTCTCTCTCTCTCTCTCTCTCTCTCTCTCTCTCCCGCTCCCTTCCTCTCTGAAATCAATAAAAATATATGTTTTAAAAAAAACTACCCAGGACCATTTTACTGTCAACATATTTCAGAAAAAGACTGTACCTGACAGGAGGCACTTTTACCTTAATTTGGTTGAATATTGATACTTTTAGAATATTCAGAGTAAAGGCCCATAAATATCTTGCAGCTTCCCGCAACCTAGCAAGATACAATGACTAGTTCAGGGCTTCAACTTCTCAAAGCACCACTGGCAACAATCTCTCATTTGTTGTGAAATTTTTAGCCTTTAGTTTCAATAGCAATATGTAACCAGGACTAATTTAAAGTATATAGGGCTTATAATTTTGTCTTTACTCTGCTCTTTTGGTTATAATATTGCATGTGTCTTACCTATTAATATCCAGTTAATGTATTCTGCAACTGAGCTCCAGAAAACAATATGTCTTTCTCCTAGGGAAGCCACTGCTCCCCACTTAGAAGCCATCTCCTCCTATTTTGTCAACAACCCTACTTCTGCTTAGTTATGGAGCCCAAAGATGCTCGGGGAAGGTGGGTCCACCTTCAGGAGAAATATCATAGTTGGCCTAAGCCGGTCTTGCTTGACTCATTCACCTCTGCAGTGACCGGTTTAGGCGTGGGCTTATGGCTAATTCTGTCCAATAAGCCACTAAGGGAAGGATGTTGGGGTTTCTCCGATTTTTCTTTCTGGTAAAAAGAAAGAAATTCATGAGGCAAAACTTACTGCTTTTACAAGGTGATTGTGTAGGATGTGATGATTGGAATTGTGACCTTGAGAGGACAAGCTTGAGGGCAAATGCCAACATTCTGAGGATGGCAAATGGAAATATAGAAAGCCCTTGGGGTTTTGATGAACTGCTGTGTAGCCAAATGAGCCAGTTCTGGAAAACCTCCAGACTTCTGTGACAGATAATCACCCCTATTGAATAACCACTTTCAGTAGGATGCTTTGAAAAAGCATCATCATCCCTTCAACTGGATGGAAATACATGCACCTTTAGACTATATTTAACACAGCGGCACATGTGGGTATGAAGAAACACAGTCTATGCAACAGGGCTTTCCCCACTTTCCTTTTTGGCAAATAGGATCTTTACTGTGCTCCAGCCCAAGGCTTCCTGTCAAGTGAGGGACTGACCATGTCTGGGACCACAGACAAGTACTGTTTGTGTATATGGTACAATATATATAACATAAAGTTTATTATTTTAACCATTATTAAGTGTGCAATCCAGTGGAATTAAATACATTCACAATACTGTTTTACCACCACAACTATCTACTTCCAAAACTTTTTCATCTTCCCCCACAGAAGCTCTGTATCAGTGATGATGAACTTATGACACGTGTGTCAGAGGTGACACGCAAACTCATTTTTTTGGTTGATTTTTCTTTGTTAAATGGCATTTAAATATATAAAATAAATATCAAAAATATGTCTTTGATTGCAAATATCAAAAAATTTCTATATGTGACATGGTACCAGAGTTAAGTCAGGGTTTTTCAAAATGCTGACACGCCGAGCTCAAAAGGTTCGCCATCGCTGCTCTATATCCATTAAATAATAGTTTCCCATCCCTTCTTCCTCTCAGTCCTGGTAACCTCAATTCTACTTTCTGTCAGTATGAGTTTGCCTATTCTTGGTAGCTCATATAAATTTAATCATACAATATTTGTCATTTTGTGACTGACTTATTTCTCTTTGCATAATGTTTTTCAAGATTCATCCATGTTGTAGCATGTGTCAGTACTTCATTCTTTCTTTTATGGCTGAATAATGTCCCGCTGTGTATATATCACATTTTGTTCATCCGTTCATCTATTGATAGGTGCTTTGAGTTGTTTCCACCGTTTAGCTATTGTGGATAATGTTACTATGAGCATTGGCATATAAGTATCTGTCCAGTGCCAGCTTTCAATTCTTTGGGTTATACAGGAGTGAGCGAGAGTAGGCATGTTTCTTCCCTCAAATCACCCTCATCCCCCATTTATCTTTCTCTGTGTGTGTGCCGCTCCCTTCTGGATCCTCCATTTATCTTGATTTTTATGGAGCTGGGGATTCCCACAGGGATTCCGTGAAGATGAGGGCACTGGGCCGGGGTTAGGTGAGGCGTCCCTTAGGCAAGCCAAACACGGAAAAGCGGGGAGAGAGAGGGGACTGCACTGCCAGGCGCTGAAAAGTAGAAACTGGGTCCGAAGGGAGAGGGTGGCAGCTGAGAGGACCAGCCTTCAGGAGACAATTGGCGTCGGACTGGCTCCCAGATCAGGCAGTCCGGCCAGCTAGCGGCGGGTTACCGTGGCAACCTTGAGATCTCGCGAGATAGACATCGCGCCTGCGCAGCGCTGCTGCCGCACCCTCTCCGGAGCCTCCCGCCTCCACCCGGCTCCCAAACTCCAGGTGTTTACAGCTCGGTCCTCCCGCTGACCCCCTCGGCCGCGGTGGCAGTGAGCCGACTTTTTCTGCTGTAAGTGAGTAACGCAGAAGGACGAAGTGTGGCGCTCCGTGAGCGTGTGGGAGGCGGAGCCGGCCGGGCGGCGGCTGTGCGCACGCGCACGGCGGCTCACGCGGAGCCGGCGCTGCCGCGATCGGGAGTGAGGGCGCCCGGACCGCGGAGGGCGGGAGGGGGCTCACCCGGGTGGGTCGTGCCTGGGACGCGCGGAGTGCGGGCCCCACGGCACGCAGGGTCTCCGGGGCTAGCCCTTGACCCCGCCGCCCCCGCCTGGCGGCCCCCCGGCCTCGGGCCTCGGGCCGTGGCTCTGGCTCCGGCTCCGTGCGCGGCCTGGGGTGGAGCCTCCCTCTGGCCGCACAGCCTGGGGTGGAGACGGGCAGCAGAATGACTGCGGTCGTGTAGGCTAAACCGTGACATACCGAAGGCACCAGACACCAGGGGAGGGTGCACTCTGCGCCGGCCTCCCCTCCCGCGGGATCCAGAGGCCGGGAGTGGCCCTGAGGCCATTCTCTGCTTTCCTCCGGGTGGATCACTGTGTTTGGTAGATGTCACCTCTTAGCTGCTTTAATTAGCATGCATTTCTGTCCATCCCCTCTGCAGCTACTCATCTACAGGCCACCATCATTTTATTTTTTAAAAAATATATTTTTATTGATTTCAGAGAGGAAGGGAGAGGGGGAGAGAAACATCAGTGATGAGAGAGAATCACTGAGCGGCTGCCTCCTGCACGCCCCTCCCTGGGGAGGAGCCCTTCATTCCGAGCCAGCGGGGTAGGGCCCGGCATCATTTCTTACTAGGACTTCCCGCTGGAAGGTCCTCGAGGGCCTTCGCCACCTGGTCCTTACCCACCTTCCCTAGTATCTCACTCCTCTCCCTAGCACCTGCCCCTGACACTGACTTACCTCCTTTAATGCTGTTCCTTGGACACTCTCCTTTGGTGATCCCTTTGGTAGGCATTCTTCAGGATTTAGTCAAAGGGTCACTGCCTCCAGGAGGCCCTCCTGACCCCCTCCACTACGCCAGGCTTCTGCTACGTCCCCTTAGGGCCCTGCTGGTCCCTGGTCTGAATGTCTTACTGGATTATCTGCTGGTATGTCTTCCTCATAGAGTCTAAGCTCAGTGAGGCCAATGACTGTTTTTCTGTGCTATTTCATGGCTTGTACTGTGGGTAATCCAGAAATACTTGAAGTAAGAAAGGGCGCTGTGAGGCTGAGGATGGGAGTAGTATCCCAGGCAGAGGGAATAATGTGCATAACGACATGGAGAGGAGAAACGGATGACCTCATTAAGTAGCATGTGGCCCAGTGGCGGGATGTAATGTGTGTTGGGGTACCTAAGGAGAAAGGCTGGTGGGGAGAGGGGCCAGTGTGTGTGGGGGCCTTAAAGGGTTTGCACTTGATCCTATAGCAGTGATGGCGAACCTATGACACGTGTGTCAGAGGTGACACGCAAACTCATTTTTTTGGTTGATTTTTCTTTGTTAAATGGCATTTAAATATATAAAGTAAATACCAAAAATATAAATCTTTGTTTTACTATGGTTGCAAATATCAAAAAATTTCTATATGTGACATGGCACCAGATTTAAGTTAGGGGTTTTCAAAATGCTGACACGCCGAGCTCAAAAGGTTCGCCATCACTGTCCTATAGGCAGTAGAGGCGTCCAGTCAGCCCCAAAGGCACCTCAGCAAGGGCTTCCTATTTTTCTCCTCCAAAGCTGTTACTCCTCTTTACCAGTGAGTATTTGTGCATTATAGGGCATTAAGGTTCTGCTTATCTGAACTTGGTTCTCATCTCCCCAACCAGATTCTGAAGACAGAAGGAGTTAATGCGTATCTTGCTTTCTCTCCAGAGCACATCACTGTAAGTACTTATTCTGTCTTTGAATGTTGACACATTAACTGACTTGCAGTTTGGCAAGAGCTCTGTTAGATCATTGTTGTCTTTTTAAAAAAATATATATTTTATTGATTTTTTTACAGAGAGGCAGGGAGAGGGATAGAGAGTTAGAAACATCAATGAGAGAGAAACATTGATTAGCCACCTCCTACTGGGGATGTGCCGGCAACCAAGGTACATGCCCCTGACCGGAATCGAACCTGGGACCTTTCAGTCCACAGGCCAATGATCTATCCACTGAGCCAAACAGGCTAGGGCAGACCTTTTTTGTCTTGCTTGTCTTCCTGACCACCTTAAACCTGCTACCAGCCTTGGATTTGAATGAGCTCCTTCCCAGTTCCCTGAGCTTGAGTGGAGCATGTAGAGAATGGGCGTAGGGGCGGGCTGTGCAGTGTGGCTGGTTTGAAGACGGCAGATAGTCTCTAGCAGTGGACATGATACTGATATGAATGAGATCTGTGGGGACCAGGAGAGGTCAGGAGACCATTTTTAGAGCTATCCAGTGTGGATAAGCCTCCTGTCCTACACCTGTGGTTCCTTATTCCAGTTCTGCATCACATTCACCCAGGCAACGCTTTACAAGTCCAGGTGCACCAGTCTTATTCTCAGACTCCAATTGAGTAGATCGAGTGTAAGGACCAACCATCTCTATGTTTTAAAGGCCACAGATTATTTTTGAAGTGCAGCCAGGATTGGGAGAGCATAAAATTTAGATTTGGGAGCCAGCTGTGACTTCAAGCAAGGTGTTTGACCCGAGTCTCTTTCCTCATCCACATGCTGGGCAATTATACAGGAAATTTGTGAGACTCAACACATGGAGCAAGTACCTTATAAATTCTGACATTCCACAGACACTTGCTTGTCAACATCAGTAGACAGCCCAGTACGTAGGAGTTCAGTTGGAGAGGATTAATCCTAACCCTGCCTGCAGCGTTCCAGGGAGGGGAGGCTCAGTGGTATAAATGAGGGAATATCTGGAATGAGAAACCTGAAAGCAGGGGTAGTTCCAAACTCCAGATGTCTTCACAGCTGGCTTAACTTCCTTGAGTTTTGCCACGTGGGTCCCTACGGTTGTTACCTGAGCTCCAGAAAGAATGTGAGGAAGAAAACTGAGTGAAGAGAAAGGATATGCAGTTGTCTCTGGGAAGGAGAAACACGATATACTCCCTAGACTAGTGGGTTTTGTTTTTTCTGTTTATTGATTTCAGAGGGAGATAGAAACCTTGGTGAGAGAGAAAAATTAGTATTGACCGCTGCCTCTTACAGGACCCTGCTGGGGACTGAACAGGAGACCTCTTGGTGTATGGGTTGATGCTCAGCCACTGGGCTACACCAGCTGGGCTAGACCAGTGTTTTATAACATTTTCCCAGTAAGGCTCCTTCTGGTTATTTTTCCCTAATGGATTAATATCTTTAAATTTCGTTACAAAATCTTGCTAGTTTTCATCAAATTGCCAGCTGGAGGAGCAGTTGGCTTGGAATAACTGTAGGAAGGGGGACTGTCCATCTGTATGTGTATCAAATGTTTTAGGGAGATATATAAGAAACTCAGAGTCCAGGGAGGAGGACTTACAAGAGGCATAAAATGAAAGTACCATTTGAATTTTTAATCATGTGCAGATGGTACTATTTAAGTTTTTTTAAAAAAAATCACATGTAGTTAATCATTAATGGCAGAAACTTCCAGGGCCCTCACAGATTGTGAGCTCCATGCAGGTGAACAAGGGGACTTATGTGGGTGGATGTGGGGACTTGTTCATGCTGAACCCCAGAGCCTAGAACACTGCCTGCACATTTGGAGGTGCTCAGTGAATATTTGTTGAATGGATGAATGGAAGCCTAACTAGAGAGGAATTTAGAGAACAGTAACAAATCTATGAGATTAATATCATACAGCCATTAAGAGGTTAACCGCTAATTCTGAACATGTAGAAAATTTTTATTTATTTTTAAATAATATCTTTATTGGTTTTTACTGAGGAAGGGAGAGAGAGAAACATCCATGTGAAAGTGAAACATTGATTGGCTGCCTCCTGCACACCCCCTACTGGGGATCGATCCCACAACCCCGACTGGAAATCAAACCAGCAACCCTTAGTGCATGGGACAATACCCTAGCAACTGAGCCACACAGATCAGGGAAACATGAAACATTTTTAATAAACTAAATAAACAAATAGAATTTCACTGTGATTGCAATAATGCAAAACATTCATATATGGCCTATATATGAATAAAAACAGTCATGAAAAAAAATGGGGAAAATTACTGAATCTTAAAAAGAGAGGTTAAGTGTCTGGTCACATAATTGGTCCTATGATTAGGCCTGCTGTAGCCTGTAAAGAATCAGAATAAGTATAACCAGGATATTCTTAAGACATGCACTGCTAGTTAACAATTGTCCTTTGTCGTTTTGCTTCTCAGTGAAGGATTTTTATAATGGCTGCAGCTCCTCAGGCACCAGGGAGGGGCTCGGTTCGGAAGACAAGACCTTTAACTGTAAAGACATCATTGAACAACCCGTATACTATCTGCTGGAGTGCTCTGGAGAGAGAGGATTTGCATTTCATCTTACAGACACTTGAAGACAGATTTAAATCAATTGGACTTGAGAAAATTGAGAATAAGAAAAGAAGTAAAAAGCAGTTTTTTAAAAAACAAGGCAGAGACAAATGTAGCATAGATGTTCATATGAGTGAGGATCTGAAGGAGAAAAAAACAGAAGATAATGAACAAGTATCAGGGTGGACTTCTGTCCAGGTGAGGAAGCAGCTTGCCATTGGCGTTAATGAAGTCACCAGGGCTCTGGAAAGGAACGAACTGCTTTTGGTTTTAGTGTGTAAGTCAGTCAAGCCTGCGATCATCACCTCACACCTGATTCAGTTAAGTTTAAGCAGAACGGTCCCTGCTTGTCAGGTTCCCCGTCTCAGTGAGAGAATTGCGCCTGTCATTGGCTTAAAATGTGTCCTAGCTTTGGGATTCAAAAAGAACACCACTGACTTTGTCAATGAAGTGAAAGCTATAATCCCCAGAGTACCCAATTTAACTGTACCATGGCTTCAAGACAGACTTGACTCCAGGGAAAATTCAGAGTCCGAATCTTTGGAAAGCCAAGACAGAGAGGTTTGGGACACTTCCTTTGAAGACCTCTCTAAACAGAAGAGAAAGCTCACTGAAGGTCAGCAGGCTGTAGTGCTACAACCCCTTAAAATAAAGAAACTGATTCCAAACCCTAATAAAAAAAGGAAACCACCCAAAAGTAAAAAAATTACTTCAAAGTAATCATGTATAAACTTGTCACTACATACAATTGGAAAATGACTCCTTGTAAAAAACCTTGAAGCTAATAAACTGAATTACTTTTACATAGATCTGTGGGAGATTGTTTGGTAAATGTTCCTTTCAAATGCATGACTTTTTAGACAGCACAGATAATGCTGAAGCTTAAAAACACTAAATGCAGAAAATATTCTGAAGTATGCATATCAAAAGTTTATTGACACTAATGTCCATGCTTGTATAGATTCACTTTTTAAAGGTTGGTACAATGCTTGTGAGCAAAAACATCTGTATCCTACAGCACTTAACATCTTTCTCTCAAACTTAGAAAATGTACCACAGTACACATGGTCTAAATTAGAGTAGATGAAACTGGACTGCAGATACGCCATCAGTTTTAAAGGAAAGATGCTAAATGCTAAGCAATACATTGTCTTCAGAAACAATACATCAGGTTTTTACTTCCTTCTATTTTACTTCCTTTGGGTAGGTCTAAGCATTGGCTTGGGAGAAAGGCTTGACACCTTTAGGAAAAGCCAGATAAGGTCTTTTGACTAGTTAGAATTCACCCCTTTACATGGTTAACATTTCCTTGAAAATATAACATGTATAAAAAGTGTGATGGTAATCAGGTGAAATGAGGCAGGAAGTAAATAAAACGGAGCTTGGATTCTCAGAGGTGAGTCTGTACAATGATGGGCATCCTTCATGTTAGGAAATGGAGCATAATCAGTACTCTATGGTTATGACAGTGTCTGCTACCTACAGTGTGTGTTTGAAAAAGTAACTTTTTCTAATTTAAGGGGAAGAGTGGCCAGAGTTTATTTTCAGCTTTAATTCTGTTTGATGCATGAATTATGCCACCTCCACTCATTTAAATTTTACTGAATACTATCGTGGCAAAAAAAAAAAAAAAAAAAAATCTCTTAAGAAATTGAGTATTTTCATCATTGACAAAGGATGCAGGACAAATGTAGGTTTTTTGAATATGTAAAACACTATATTACACTGAAATTTAGTTCTAATAGCTACTTAAACGCAGCAGTTTTACATAATTTGCTTAAATTATAGAGGCAAATGTGCTATTTATTTTTAAATGAGGAAAAAAAAGATTTTAATAAAATTGGAATTTTAGCCCGTGACAAAATTTCTGACTGGCAATTCTGTAATTATTTGAAAACCTCCCTTTGTATGACTCTGTGCTATAACAATGAATGGAACATAATTCCCAACTGTGCCTTGGCTTCAGATTAAGTTAAAATCTCATTTATTTAACTCTGGTAAATTGGTTCAGTTTTGCTTCTTGAAGTTTTCATCTTCTGTTAAGGAAAAATAGTAATACCATTGGGTTGAATCATCCTAAATAAGAACTCTTCCTTTATGTCTTCAAGAAAGTACACAGTTATCTGAGTACGCTCTACTGTGGGGCCCATGCACGCCCTCTACCGGTAGTCTCAAGGATACCACAAGCCCTGGGTTGGCCTGTTGGTTAATGGCAAGCTGCAGAAAGTAGCATTCAGCTCCTTAATGTAAATCAGGATAAACAACTTTTCTTTCAGGGCCAGATAGCATATATGTTAGACTTTTTGGTTCATACAACCTCTATTGAAACAAATCAACTTTGTCTTTTGTAGCATGAGGCAGCCATAGGCAGTATATAAGTGAATAAGTGTGTGTTCCAATAAAACTTTATTTATGGATGCTGAAATTTGAAATTCATATCATTTTCATGTATCCCAAAATGTTATTATTTTCCTCTAACCACTCAAAAATGTAAATACCATCTTTAGCTTAGGGTGTACAAAAACATGTGATGGGCTGGATTAGGGTGATGGGCTATAGTTTGCTAGACCCTGCCTGGTATAAGATAGGAATGGTTTCATTTGACTACTTATAACATGAAGGAAAAGCCATCATGTCTAAAATAATTAAAATTTTCTGGACAGAACAGCCTAGGCACTGGAAGAGGGAAGGCAGAAAAAAGTAACTACTTCGTGGAATGAGTCAAGGCCAGTTTATATGGCCTCATTTAGCATCTTTTTTCTCCTTGGACTATTGACAATATATATATATATACATATATATGTACACTGTGAAACGTGTTTTTTCAAATTCTAGATAAAAACATCAGTAACAAAAGTATGAATACTTATTTACAAATAAGACATTTTCTATTAGCATGACAGCTTTCATGATAAATTAAAGTCAGCATTAAGGAATATGTGCAATTTTGCATAAGTAATAAAAACATTCAAACTATCAATATCCTGATAGCACTAATAAATTCCACTGGGCAGTTCCTTTGACTTTAGCACTTATATTTTCTTTTCCTCACATATCCTTGCTGTTCCTGAAAAGAAACGAGTTTGTGCAGCAGCAGCAAAGTCTAGTTAGTCATGGTGCATACTCTTTCAGAGAGCACATTTCATGTTTGCACAAAACTTTGCTTTTGAACCCAACCACCAACCTGTTGAACATTAAAGTACAAATTTGTGTGTTTATTGATTTGGCAACTTTGCTTCTGGAGAAATAAATGTACTAGTCACCAGTACATTTTTATCTTGCTCTACACACAAACACCCACCACTCATCATGGAGTTGTGGAAATGCTGATTCCAGAAATGTCTCCAATGATAGCATGGAAGATGATAGGAGGAAAAATTTCCCAGTTACACAGACAAAAAGACTATCACTTGATAAACAGAAATGCAGCAGTTTATCTCCAACATTAGCAAAGATTTTTTTACACAAGTCTGTGACTTCTGTTCCGTCCATAAAAAAAAAAAAAAAAAAAAAAGGCCCTTTCTAGAGAATGGAAAAATACCTTCAAGAGATGGTCAAAAGTTTGAAAATTAGAGGAATGTGCTCTTTGTACTCTTTCATCCCTCCTTCAAATGGGTAAACAGTGAAAAAAAGGAAGAATGTTAACATTCTAGCTAGACATATGTAGTATTGGTCACATATGGATGTTTTTTCATCTTTTCCAATTATTACTGACTGCATCAGTTTCACTTAGGTTGTGCTTTTATTCTTTGGAATGACAGTTCCAGAAATCATTAAATAGAATATTAACAAATGATGGATGGTATCAGTTCTAGGGATGGAAACATCCATCTATTGTAATACAAGTCCAACCTAAAGGAAGGGAAGAAATGGAATAGTAAGGGCAGGTAAGCAAGAGACAATAAAAGCATAATATGCTAATTAGACTGAACATCCTTCCTGACAAACTTCCGGACGAAGCTGGGACTGCGAGGGAAGCCCGGATCCCGGGTGCCTGCCAGCGGCTGGAGGGAAGTCAGTGCCGGCAGCTGGGAGAAGGTAGGCCTACTCTTGCACGAATTTTGTGCATTGGGCCTCTAGTTAAGTTATAATGTAGTACAATAGACCTGTGTTTTTTAAAAGCTACTAAAAAATTAATAATCCTAAGGGAAGTATGGAATTTCCTAGATAAATATATTAAGTTTATAAAGCATATATCAACTTTTCTTACCTTTTCAGAATCTGTTCCTGGACACCTCCAATTGTACAAGTAATACTGTAAATTGCCATCTCCTATTCCAAACTTGAGTTTTTCCAAGAATGTCTTATTTTCCATCAAATCTAGTGCATTGAATACATCAAATCCTTTCTGCCAATGTAAAAAAGATTGAAAATTTCAAAAGACTAGAGTGTTTTCTGTATTAAGTATTTCAGCATAACATTGAATTCCTATAACCTGAATATGCACTTATAAGATTCAATGTCTGTAACATATATAATATAGGTTAAGAATTCAGTTATATATAACTAGCAGTGAATCTGATGAAGTCAGCTATCCAGCAATGCTGAATTAAAACACAGTATGCTGGCTCACAGTGACATAACAAAATCTATTAAAAGTTCAGAAAATATTTCTTCCTGTTTTAGAAGGAACAGTTGCCTAGATGGCTCCATCTCCAAAACTGCTACTGGTCTTTCTAAGTTCTGACTTAGTTCAAGTTACAGCCAAGAAACCAAAGTTGTAAAAACTTTAAATAGTATATTTGTCTTGGGCTGATAATGGAAAATAAATTTTCTAAAATTTAATAGTAGAAATCTAATGTCTTTAAAATGTTAGATAATAATATGCAAAAGGTGATATAGATGAAGCACCTAAATTTCTATGTCTTAGGGCTTTTACATTAAATAACTAATTACTGGCCTTCTAGGGGAAGTAGTTGAAAATGAGCAATAGGATGAAATAATCAGGATAATGTTGATTTGGGGATCCACTAGTAATGGGTTTTTTATGTGTTTTTTAAAAAATTGATCAAATACTAGTAAATGCAAGGAAGACACTTTTGAGGTGTTGTTCCCAAATTCTCATGAATATTTTCTCATATTCAATAATTACTTTAAAATGTATAAAATGTATCTGTCTACTGATTTTAATTTATTTTTAAAGGAAAATGTTTATTTGCAGCAAGAATTTAAATTGTCCTAACTATGACACTGAGGAAATAATAATAAAAAAAAGTATAATAAGGCATATTTTGAGTTTAATTCCTTTCATTTTATAGTCTAATTTTGACAATAATCCCCTTTAAAAATAAAGTCCCTTTCATTTTAAAATTCAGAGACCATTTATTTAAATCAAAAAACTGGTTGATGCTAATAATTCACTATAAAACAAACACTCATGTATTTTCCTTATATCATGGGATCATGTATTTTTCTTATATTTCTTATGGGTTTTATGTACTCTTATGTAAATGTTTAAAGTATCTACTTTATAAAAAATGACTTTTTGGTTAAGTTGCAATAGGATTAATGATGAAAATAGCCACTGAAGTTTTACAAGAAACTTCTCAAAATTCTTCCTTTGACCGATGGTCAAAAGTAATAAACATTCAAATTAATTCATCTTGTGTGAAAGAAAATACAGTAAGATGCTTTATATACTTACACACACATATTTGGAAAAACAGGACAAAAATAAATGAATTGCTTACCAATTTAGCTATAATGAGCGCATCATTCATGAGGTCTAACAGGGGCGTCTCCGTGTGAATGTTGTAGAAGGAGTAGGCAGCCTTGAGGCTCTTATGAGCAGGGTGGTGCATGACTGTGGAGGGGAGTGTGTAGAAGCTCAGGAAGTCAGTAAGTTTACCACTGGAGTTCTAAAGAACAAAGGTAGCATCAAGTAAATACCTTCTGGTTCTCAACCATCCTAATGCTGCGACCCTTTAATACAGTTCCTCATGTTGTGGTGACCCCCAACCATAAAATTATTTTCGTTGCTACTTCATAACTGTAATTTTGCTACTGTTATGAATCGTAATGTAAATATCTGATATGCAGGATGTATTTTCATTGTTACAAATTGAACATAATTAAAGCATAGTGATTAATCACAAAAACAATATGGAATTATAGATGTGTTTTCCGATGGTCTTAGGCGACCCCTGTGAAAGGGTTGTTCGACCCCCAAAGGGGTCGCGACCCACAGGTTGAGAACCGCTGGTCTAGAACAAATATTATCCATGCATTTAAGCTAACTTTTTGATCTTTGACTTACTTTCTGTTAGAATAAAAGCAACAAGTCATACTTCTCCCTCAGCAGTCTGATATGGAGCCTTGTAGAATATGTTTTGTAGAGGTCGAGAAGGGTTTGGGGTTGTAACGTTAGGCTAAATGCTGATTGATGATTTGCATAAAGATCTTTATCAATAGAAAGTTTTAAAAGGAAAGCTTCCTTCGGGATGATTACTGAGTCTCTTCAGACTTACGGAAAAGTAATCAAAATAACATCATTGCTTTTACAGAAATAAGAGTGTTAAGGATTAGACGCTGCCTTTTCCAGCTAACAGACATGTATAATTTTAACATCTTCTTGGCACAAGGGGAGAATTTTATTTTATTAGCTTAAAGCAAAGTTGGATAGAGTTTGGAAGCTGTTTTTAGAAGCTTATGGAAGGTACTGGTATTATACCAAAATATACATATGTGAGTAATAGAAAATCTGAAGCTATCAAAAATTATAAGGGATATAATAGTGATATTTATTTCATTATCATTGGTATACTCTTCAATACAAGAAATTAGCTGGTGTTATTTGTGTTGTTTTAAGAGCTGTGGTAACCGGAGAGACAAGATGGCGGCGGAATAGGCAGACGCATCCCAAGGCTCGCCCCGGAGCAAATAGAATGAGCAGTTGAAACAGATAACATCCATCCCCGAATTGGCGAAGTATACTCAGCTGGTGAGACAGTTTGCAGCCGGGAAGGGCAGAGTTCCCCTGGAAAGGTAAAAACCAGGGACCTGGGCAGGAAAGTTTGCCAAATCTCTGAGCCCAGAGGGTCAGAGGGAGACCGAGCAACACCCAGCCGTGTCCCTTGGGACAGGCACAGCCCCTGACTGTGGAAAGGAAATCTGCAAGACTGTTGGTGCCAGGGGATTTGAGATCTAGGTTCCATAATTATGGAGGACTGAGCCTAAAGGGGGCAGCCTGAAGCGCTGACCAGACCATGCAGTGCCGGTAAGAGAGGAGCTTACAGAGACTCAGTCTTCCTCGTTTCTGCGGCCGGCATTTGTTTGTTTGTTTTCACTGAACCCTGTTCATAGGACATTTCGGATACAGACACTCACCCGTGCTGAGGAGCAGGAGAAGGTGCAGACGAGTGGAATCTGGGAAGAGGCTGGGGAGAGAAGGGGGTCCAGGAGAGGTGGCAGCAAATTGAGTGATGAGTCACCCCTGAGCCCAGGACTTGGGCAGCCATTTTCTCCTGAGGATATAAGTCCTCCCTCCAGCCCCCAGGCAAGGAATACAGCCACACCCAGATTCCACCCTGAATGCTATGAAGGATTAAACAAATCTGATTAGTCCCTGGGAGTTAACAGGGTCTGGCCTATAGAAGGGCCTTCGGTCCCAGCAACAACAAAAAAACAAACAAACAAACAAAAATCAGACACTCCAGAAAACTGGGATCTTAAGCCAGCCAAAGGAATGACATTTCAATTTTTCATTTTTCTTTTTTATTATTATTATTTTATTAGCTCTTTTTTCTTTGTTTCCCTTTTTTTGTTTGTTGCTCTTTTTTGTTTTTTTTCTTTGTTCTCCTTTTTTTTTTTTAAAAAAAATATATTTTATTGATTTTTTACAGAGAGGAAGGGAGAGGGATAGAGAGTGAGAAACATCGATCAGCTGCCTCCTGCACATCTCCCACTGGAGATGTGCCTGCAACCAAGGTACATGCTTTCGACCGGAATCGAACCTGGGACCTTTCAGTCCGCAGGCCGATGCTCTATCCACTGAGCCAAACCAGTTCCCGCTGTTCTCCTTTTTTTGTTTGTTGCTTTATTTTCCACTTCTTTTCACATTATTCTTTTATCATTCAATTTTATTTTATTTTTACTTGTTATTTTCTATTTTTATACAATTTTTTTGTAAATATATTATTTTGTTCCCTTTCTGTCTCTTATCCACTCATCCCTTTTCTACCTCCGCTATACTGAAGTGAGGTCCTCCCCATATTTATCCAATTCTTAACCACATTTCCTGTATATCAGCTCAGCCTCTACAGATTCTGCCCCTACCCTCTTTACTGGGTGTTTGGTGTTTGTATTTGTTTGATTTATCTATTGGTTCTGTGGTGTTTTCTCTCTCTCTCTCTCTCTCTCTCTCTCTCTCTCTATATATATATATATATATATATATATATTTTTTTCTCCTTTTTCTTTTTCTCCTATCTTTTTTTTTCTTTTTTCTTCCTCTCTTAGATATCATTTGTACTCACTTTTCTCTCCCCTAATTCTCTTTTCTCAGGTGGTCACTTATATTGGGGTTATCGGTGTCGTGAGTACATTCATGCTTTGTTCCCTTTGAGTCATGTCTTGTTAAGGTGAATTTTATCCTGTCTGGCTAAAGTGCTAGAGAGCAAGCCACATAACCAAACACCTGGAGAGGAGGAGCAGCGATGCGTGCAGCTCACTCCCATCCAAAGAGCAGCAGCTGTGCAAGCAGCCCACACCCGTCCAAGGAGCAGTAGCCCAACAATCAGCCCACCACATCAGAGGAACAACAGCAGCATGCAGCCAGCCCCCATTCAAGGAACAGCAGCCACATGAGCAGTCCGCCCCAGTTCAAGGAGTAGCAGCTGCATGTGTAGCCTGCACCCATCCAAGGAACAGCAGCCTCGTGATCAGCACACCCTCTGTCTGGGGAACAGCAGCTGTGTGAGAAGCCTCCCCCCACCAGCCAGAGGAGCCACCACAACTGTGAACAGCACCCACCAGAGGAGCTGCAGCCAACTGAGGAGCAACTGCTACCACAACCGCCCGAGGAGCAACTGCAGCCCGAGGAGCCACAGCCACGCAAGGAGCAGCCCCTGAACGACTCAACATCTAGATCTGTCGGTGAGATCAAACATGGGTAGAGAAAGAAACCCCCAAAGGAAAGAAAAGGAGGACTCGCCAGAAAAGCAGCTAAGTGAAACAGAGGCATGCAACATGTCAAAAAAAGAATTCAGATTAAGGGTCCTAGAGTGCATAAACCAGATGGAGGAAAAAATCAAGAACTTATGCAAGAATCAAGAAGAAACAGATAAAAAAATCAACAAATATGTAAGAATAAAAAAGAAATGGTTGAAAAAAAATCAATAACTTATGTAAGAACCAAGAAGAAATGAAGAGTGATATTGCTGCAATAAAAAACACCATTGAAAGTTTCAACAGTAGACTAGGAGAAGCGGAGGACCGAATTAGCGAATTAGAAGACAGGGAAACAAAACACACCCAAACTGAATTGCAATTGGAGAAAAAAATTAAAAGACAGGAGGAGAGCCTAAGGGAGCTATGGGACAACATGAAACGAAAGAACATATGAATAATAGGGGTGCTAGAACAACAGAAAGAGGAACAAGGGTTAGAAAACCTACTGGAAGAAATAATATCAGAAAACTTCCCTGAGGTGGGGAAGAAAAAAGTCACACAAGCACAGAGAGTCCCAAACAAGATGTACCTGAAAAGACCCATGCCAAGACACATCATAATTACCATGGCAAATGTTCAGGTCAAAGAGAGAATCTTAAAGGCTGTAAGAGAGAGACAGAAAGTTACATACAAGGGACCTCCCATTATATTATCAAATGATTTCTCAACAGAAACACAACAGGCCAGAAAAGAATGGACAGAAATTTACAAAGTGATGCAAAGCAAGGACTGAATCCAAGAATACTCTATCCAGCAAGGCTATCATTCAAAATTGAAGGGGAAATAAGAAGCTTCACAGACAAAAAAAGGCTAAGGGAGTTTATCACCACCAAGCCAGCAATGCAAGAAATGCTAAAGGGACTGGTGTAAAAAGAAGAAATTAAAAGCTCAGAAAGAAAACAGGCACAAAAAATAGAAATGGCTACAAACAAGTACCTTTTAATAATAACTTTAAATGGACTAAATGCTCCAATCAAAAGACATCGAGTGGCTGAATGGATAAAAAGACATGACCCATATATTTGCTGTCTACAAGAGACCCACCTCAGAATAAGGGACTTACACAGAATGAAAGTGAAGGGATGGAAAAATATCTTTCAGGCAAATGGAAATGAAAAAAAAAGCTGGGGTAGCAATACTTATATCAGACAAAATAGACCTCAAAGTGAAGGCCATAACAAGAGATAAGGAAGGCCACTTCATAATACTAAAGGGCTCGATACAACAAGAAGATATAACCCTGAAAACATATATGCACCCAATGCAGGAGCACCCAAATGCATAAAAAAACTCCTGGAAGATATCAAGGGAGAGATTGACAACAATACAATCATAGTAGGGGACTTTAATACACCACTGACATCACTGGATAAATCCTCTAGACCAGGGGTGGGCAAACTTTTTGACTCGAGGGCCACAATGGGTTCTTAAACTGGACCGGAGGGCTGGAACAAAAGCATGGATGGAGTGTTTGTGTGAACTAATATAAATTCAAAGTAAACATCATTACATAAAAGGGTAAGGTCTTTTTTTTTTCTTAGTTTTATTCATTTCAAATGGGCCGGATCCAGCCCGCGGGCCGTAGTTTGTCCATGGCTGCTCTAGACAAAAATCAGCAAAGAAACAGCAATCCTAAATGACTCACTAGATCAGATGGACTTAATTGACATCTTCAGAACATTTCACCCCA